CCGCCATCTCATACATCGCCCTGTTTTTATCAGATTTCCGGGTTTCTTCTCCCCTTCCCTCCCTTCTCTTCTATTGCCATAGAATACTCTCTTAGAATACTCCCTTAGGAATACAGTCTCTTATAATTGGAACTTTTCCCTCCGCATTCAGTCTTCATGATCACGTCTTTCCTTCTCCGCTGTCACGACACCATCTGGTCCTTTCTGCATGTCACCATCCTCAACATCCCACCCTCTCGCCTGCCCATCTTCCCCTCCCTAGCAGGCTCAGTCTGGTTCCTGACCCTTGCCAGCCTACTGCTAACATGGCTGGCTCGAGGCATGCCTCAGTACCCAGGCCAAAGCAATCCACACGTCGCGTGCGTGCTGCCTCCACTTCGTACATCGGAATAAAATGTCATAAGACTAATCAAGCGAAACCAACAGCTTCATCTCCGACATCGCCTCCTTCGAACTCAAGCCTCTTTTCCTGATCGGGGCCTCCATGACCGCCGTCGGGTTCTGGTTCACCGTAGTTGCTGTCCATGTCATGCGCTACGAGCCTGGCTTCGCATTGATCCGCTGCCCGGACCACTTCTCCTCTAGAGGTAGTCCGCAGCACGCACCATCTCCGGATGGGGATCGACTACCGGCCTCAGTGACTCCATACAATGGCCCTATTCATGACAACAACAATGATAATCCAAATGAAACCGAGGACGACGTCAAAGACGACGAGTCACCCACGACCATCGCCACCCTCAAACTCATCTCCCTCGTCGCCATCTTTTCCGCCGGCATGGCCAGCACCGCCCTCATCTTCCTGGCCGTCATGGATACCTTCCGGTACCACTTCGCGCACGCGGTCCTCCTCCGCGTCTGCTTCGGGGGCTTGGCCCTGCAGTCCTTCGGCACGGCGATCGTGTACTCGAACGAGGTGCTGGGGTTTGTGGCGTTCTTGACGCATGGCGGCGTGTGGCAGCCCAGATGGGGGGAGAGGCGCAAGGTCAGGGTACGCGTCTTGTAAGTTTTTCTCCTGCTCTTCCTTGCTTTCTCCCTTCCTTTCCTCCTTCCTGCACCCATGTCTGCTCTAAATGGTGGAAAGGGTGACGTTATGGATGACGTCTTCTGGGCCTCGCTTGACAGCCAGCAGAGGCGCATAGTGGCTAAACCCAGACGTTCTTGCATGGCAGTGCCTTCCTCTCCACCGCGTTGATTCTGGTGGAGCTCTTCCTCGGCATCGCTTTTATCTCACTCACCGTCCCCGAGATTGTAAGCGATTACCGGGCCGCCGGGATCCTGGAGTGGGTGATTGCGTTCCTAGGCACGGTGTATTTGTGGCTGTTCGTGGGGTTCTTTGATCGGTGCGTTCCCCCCTCCTCCTTCAAATTAGACGAGGAGTTCCATGACGGAAGGCTAACATGATAATTTGTTGCACAAAAGAGACAGCTTCGAGGGCTTGGTCCCGAGTGTGCTGTATGCGGCGGCCTCGAAGGGACGACGGCTCCCTGCCTCGCCCTCCACGCCGCCGGGGGATCGCCGCGCACCCAATGACTCGGATGCCGAGCAGGCCCCGTTGCTGTCGCGGGGGTCTACCACGAGCCGATATATGTGATTGCCCGTTAATTATGATTGATGAGTTGCAGCTTAGCGGTAGAGTTCGATTTCATTAGTTTCCCTTTTCTAAGACGGCGTCGGAGTTCAGATACTTGTGTCCTCAGGCGAAAACATCATTCATTTTAATAGGGCCTCTTTTCCCATGTTCCAATTCCTGGATGACTCCCAAAACAACGCTATTTTCACATTTCCAAAGACATTCTACGAATACATCAAAGGCTGACATGTCCAGACACTCGTTTGCCTCTACTTCAAACAGGAGCTTGGGATCCCTGCAAACGCGACCATATACAAGCAGTCGAGACTGGAGAGCCTCGTTACAAGGCTTGACCACCTTGATTGACCAGCTGCCACACGCTCGGCTTGTTGATGAACCCGGTAAGGTTGGCAGAAGGGGGAAGACCGGCTGGAGGTTGGCGGTCACGGATCTTCTCGAGGGTGGAATTGTACTATATGGTAGGTTAGCGGATGAACCCCTTGTCCACTCCAAGCGACCTGCGCCTACCTTGAAGGCGAAGTTCAACACCAGAGCAACCGCCAATCCAATACAAACAACAATCGGTCCAAATGTGTTATCCAAATCCCGTCCACTCCGTTGTCGGATGAGCTTGGCCCGCTTCTCGTGCATGTACCACCCCCAGACGGCGGCAAAAATCGCAAAGGCCGTGTAGACAATTGATAACGCACGGGCGATATCATTGTGTTTCCCAGCTGCGTTGTACAGGCCCAGCGACAGCGATGACAGAAGAATGCTGATGTGGAGCCACTTGATGAAGGTACGTTGGTTGGCGAGCCAGACCTTGGTCTCGACACGGACAGGTCCAGAGTCCTTGATCCACGTGCCTGGTTCCCGAACGCCAGGAGGCAGCACGACTGAGTTTCGGGGACCACGGTTGTTCCGCGCGGCAGAGAAGGTCGGGAAGAGAGAGGCCAGGCGTTTCAGATTTATGGGATGTTCCGGCTGTTGGTCCTCGCGCTGGACTTGTTGGTTTTGCGGCTCCGGGTGCTCAGGTACGCGGGCTATTTCTGGAGCAGAAGGCCGCTGCGAGGGCGGTAGCATCTGCGACGACTGTCGACGGCGAGGGGAAGAGGATATGTCGGTAAACATCTGTACGGGTGATCCCACCAAAGGCCTCACTGTCAATGAACCTTTGTTGCCGAGGAAACTTCCGACTGCAATATCGTCTTCTGCTCGCTGCGCCCGCCGCTCCTGTTCTTCGTGGAAAGCGGTTTCTGGGTCTTTTCGAATGTCATTCTCCATCTCACCGAGCCAGAACGGAAAGCTGTTGACGTAGTCCTCGAAGAGCTGCGCCACACCATGGACAAACTTCGAGAACCGTGGCGCCTCCTTTACAAGGTGGGAGACCATGAGATCCTTGATCCATTCGGCACTGTGCGCTGCAGTGCCCTTGAGTTTGATTTCCAGGAGTGCGTAAGGGAAGCGAACGATTTCGCCGGTCCGGATGCTGCTGAACGGGTACTCCATTCCCGCATCATCAATGTCTGTGCGATGCCATTGATCGGGCTCACGGCAGGGACGACCTTCATCCAGAGAGTCCTCCCTGATTAGAGCCAGATTGGTATCGAGCGAGATTCGGATCCGATCATCTCCGGGGATTTGAAACGCCGTACGGGTATAATTAGCCCGAAGCATCGGCTGCAGGTTGTATTCCTTGATGAATGACTGCAGTTCCTCGATATCCTGCTTGAAGGACTCTGCTTGTTCCGATTCACCATTGCCCATGGTCTCCATCCGCTGAAGCTTTTTGTCAAAGTGGTACTCTCCGTCCAAGAATTCCTTCACGTGTTTTTGTTTGAGCTGAATCTTTACTTCTCGGCTGCGATTGTCGTCCGACACTATCTTTTTCTCCAAAAATATGGCTGGCTTGTCCTGCAGATTTCCGGTCCATCGCAGTCGTAAAGACCCGGCTTCGGCGGCGCGAGCGACCTTTTGGTTGTAAAGGTCGAACTGTCGGTTGTCAAAGTATAGAGAGGTGATTGTAGGGTCGTCAGGGAGGATATCGAGGTCCTTGGAGGTTCCAGGATTATAGATAAGAACGGGAAGCTGCCGTAGAATGTAGGTCTTGGCCTCGAGGACGTTGTTGGGATGAATCCAGAACTTGAAGGAGGAATACATGTCTTGACCAAAGCGAGGTTCAGCTGGATCTTTGGCTTCAACCAAGCCCTTGCTCAGAATTTCACGGGCAAAGGAGTACATAACAGACAGTCTGCGAACTAGAGGAGAGTAGTCCTCGGTGTTGAATGGGAGTTGCGACAAACGCACTTGCAACAAGGGCTTCACACGATACCGTGCTCCACGCTTGCGGTCATGCTTCTTAGCCGCCTTGAGGAAGCCGGTGAAGTTAATTCGACTGTATTTCTCCAGCTCGCTGACCTCTCGAGTGATGCTGTCTAGCTCCTGTAGAACGCCTGACGCAATGCGCTTCTTTTCCGCGTCGTCCAATTCTGTGGCAGCCTCATCCTGGGCTGCATCAGTCAATTCTCGCAGCTTGGATTCGCAATCAGCAGTTCGTTCCCGCAGCTGCTTCAAGGTTTCGACTTGAAAGGCATTGACTTTGTCCAGTTGGACGTTCAGGAGCTCCTGGACAAACGCTTCCTCATCTTGTTCGGTCCATGGGGCATTATCGGAATCGCTATCGTTTCCGATGACATCATGCTCCCTCAGAAGGACCTTGAGCTTGTGATAATCAATGTATTTCCCACTCCATGGAGGATAGATCGACTTCCGAAGGGTCTTGCCAAAGCGCATGATCGAGCAGAATGCGGCGGAGCTTGGCAGTGGTTGGGAACGAGGACTGTGTAACGGAGGAAAAGCAAGAGGAGAAGCCGAGAGAGAGGGTTGCACAGGGACTCGGGAAGGGGAGAGGCACTTCTTATAAGGGAGGAGGGCAAATGCGGGTCGAGAAGAAGAGACCGTCAAGGAGAATCAGCTCATGACAATGGAGAAGGGAAATTTTCAGACTTAAGACGGGACAGACGTAAGGAAAGAAGGGAAGCCGCTAAGAAATCGCCATCGAGTCGAGGCGGAAAATAGAGAGGGTTCTAATATAGTCTCGTTTGGTCTCTCGTTGCATCCCATCGCCATGTTGATGCACGTGCTGCCTCTCTGCCTCCCCGGAAGGGTCTAGCCCGTCCCCCGCTGTAGTGATTCAGCTGACCATTGGTCAAGTGGGTTTGGAGCTACGCCGCCGGCGTAGATACTAACTTACCTACTACTAAGTTGAGTCAGTATCCGTCCGTCACTGAAATACAGTACCGTATCGTTACATGTATACTGTAGTTTTTCGGTTTTGTAATGTATCATCTGCCACTAACAACCAACCTCCGAGGTAAATTACGGAGCACTAAGATCATTTCCACGATGTGTTCCGACCGATAACGTTAAGAAACTCTCTCTTTCTCTCTTTCTCTTTCTGAATATCTTCCAGCCAGCATCTTTTTTTTGTCGTGTGTATATACTTATACTAGACTATGCTGTAACTTTGCATCGCTTCTATTTCCTTCTAGACCGACCATCTCCTATTCCAATGGAGTCAGCCAGTCCCCCATCTTCACAGGACTCCGTACCCTTGACGCAATCGCTTCATGACGTGTTGTCCGGCCTCCATCAACGCCCGTACCCTCATGTCCCCAACCCTCCGAATTGCAAGAAACGTGCCTCGGTTGCCCTTATCCTGCGAGTCCGACCTACATATGAACACTGGCCAGAGTCTACTTCTACCTCTTCCGGGGAGACGGACAATTCAGCGTCTGTCCAGCAACGACTAGACACATTCTTCTCCCAATCGTGGGTTCACTATGGTCAACCAGAGGCGCTATTTATCAAGCGAGCCTCGCGCGTGGGAGACAGATGGACCGGTCATGTTGCTCTCCCGGGAGGCAAGCGAGACCCTGAAGATCCAGATGATAAAGCAGCGGCGGTTCGGGAAGCCTCAGAGGAGATTGGACTGGATCTAACCACGGAGGATTGTGTGTATATCGGCAACCTGCCCGAAAGAGTTGTAACGACGAGCCTGGGCACAATACCGTATGTACTTCGTCCGATATCGTACCTCGAGTGTGCCTGATACTGATCATGTCAATTGCAGGCTGATGGTCCTATGCCCCTACGTCTTCTTGTTAACATGCAGTGACTCACCAACATTGAAGCTACAACCCACCGAAGTGGCCTCGACCCATTGGGTGCCGCTAAAAGCGCTTTTGTCGGCTTCTTTACGCACTGTAGAGCATGTGGACATGACTCAACGCCTCGCAAACATGGGAGGCATCATGGCCCGGGTTGCGTCTCGTTCCTTGATGGGCTACATGCAGTTTCCCGCAATCCGACTGGCCCCAACTGAGAGCCTCCAAAGCAACACAACCCCCGGGCTCACCCCCCAAGATGAGCAAAGACAGTCGCTGTTCCGGCGGTTGACTTCATGGGGTAGAAGTAGTTCTGCTGACCAAGATATCGGAATAAGTCGCCCCTTGCTCCTCTGGGGATTGACGCTGGGGATTATGGCGGACTTCTTGGATCTGCTTCCTCCACACACAGCTGTCAAGCTTTGGCACTACCCCAACTTCACAGCCCCCGACTTACGACTGCTTATCAACCTGCTCACATATCGTCTGCGAAAACGCAATAGGCGCTTGGTTGAGAGCGGAGCTAGACCGAATAATACTGCGGTGGATGCTCAAACAGCGGCCGTGCCAGTAATAGAGATCGATTGCAATGGCAGTAGCAGTCAAAACAATATTGGGATTGAAGGACTTGGTGTGGGTCAATACTACGGGCCTTCCGACAAGGGTCTGAATGGGAGCACATATGCGCTGGAAATAATGCTTCGAGGCTATTATGATCGGCTCCGACTAGCCCTTTACATTTTCGTAGCATGGAGGATAGCCCTGGGCTCCACGGCGGCCTTCTATGCATGGAAATTTCTTCGTCAGGTCCGCCGATGATGGCGATGGCGATGATGATGAAGAAGATGACCCTGCCATTATTCCGTGGACTGTATATCTATCGATTCTGAGTTGAACATACAGTAGTATAAATGACTTTCTACAGCAAACCTCATCCGCATTCCTCCAGCAGAAGCAAGGGGGAAACAGCAGCAAAGAGTCACACTAGCAGTTGCTGTTTCTGGACGGTAGTCGCTCTCAATTACATGATCTAGTAAGACGGAACTGTATTGTTATGTATGAACAAACGTACTGTAAGTTACACGGAGACTGCCCCGGTTCGAGTACCTTAGTTTTCTCGTAGCGGTAAACAATTATTCTCGTCCGCCTTAGCTTGTCATGCTTATCGTCCCGGAAGCTCGCCGGTGTCACTCAAGCGGCTGTTGATTCTTTATCGGCACTGATTCACTCGCGTCATTGCTTCTGATCTTCCTTCAAGCTTCTAACCACTCCCCTCCCCGAACCTATTGCCCTGGCTCATCGCCCCAAATGGCAGCAACGCAGAAGCTTTATCCTCGCGCCACGGTGAAGCGTGTCGTTAAAGCGCATTCGAATCGTAACGTGAGCAAGAACGCTGATGTCTTGGTTGGTCTCCTAATCCCGCCCCCCTTGTTGCGACCTCGCACAGAGTCTAACGTCTTTTTCCACGTTTTAGATCTTCCTGGATTATATGTTGTTCATGCAAGAGTAAGTCGCGTCGACTATGACCTAATTATCTCCACCACATGATTCTCAAAACATGGCGCATGTTGAGGGGGAACCAAGGCATGGCTCACAGCTGAAACCTGGATGTCTATGCAGATTGATGCGGGAATCATCGATTCAGTCGCGGAAGGTGGGAGAGAAGAACATATCGCCGAATTCAGTGCGCAAAGTGACCGAGGTATGTTTGCCTGGCGCAGCGATGCAGGTATGCATGGTTCCCGTCGAGGCTGACATCTGGTCTGTTAAACCTACAGAAAACGCTACGGAAGTTCAAGGGCTAGGTTGATGGCAGAGCAAAGCTGCCTTGGAATACAAAATTGCACCATTGCCAGCGTGCGACCGGAGCATATCTCTGATCAGCTCTGTGGGGTTTGTGCTACATGGGTGGTTGCTGAGCTTGGCCTAGATTCACGATCCACTCTCTTGGGACCGTGACTGCTCGTCCATGCCTCTAGTGAATTTTTTTGTTATGGAGAGAGGAATGGGCTCACAAAGTCCAGGCGATTCGGGGTCATATAGGCGTTATTCAGGAGTCACTCGGTTGATACCCAATGCATGGATTGTTCTACATCAGGAAGACCTCGGTATAAGACAAAACTGCAATAGATCTGAAATAATATCTCACAGGTAGAGTACGCGCCTCCATCGTGTAAGATTCTTCGCATATGCAGCGTAGTGTGCCAGCTGTTGCAATGGTTGTTTGGGTCGCAAGACGTGTTGGGGCTGAACCAGTGACTGGAGCTGCAGCAGCACGCGACGAGGGCGGTTCGGAAGAGTTCCACCCGCATCTGCCAGCTGCTTTTCCCAATTCAATCCCCATCCCCATCATCTCAGTCTTCCCTTTCTGCTTCAACTGTTTCCGCCTCCTTCTCACTTCCGCCTCAACAAATCCCTCCTCCTGTCCTCAATTGTGCGCATATATCTTTGCGCTACTGTACAAGACTTTCACCCTGTTTTTACTACTCTTCGCATAGCTTTTATTCTACATCGTCTGCTTAGGCGCTAGACCACTTCCTCCGAGTCATCACCACACCAAACCAGCAACATGGCTGCCGCTTCTGTCAACTCCAGCCCTGCTCAACACTCCGAAACTTCTTCCAAGAAAGCAAAGTCGAATCATGCTTCTAGCCCTTCTATTGTCTCGAAGCCTGACACGAACGGCTTGGACAATCTAGACAACCAACACTTCAAGGAATTGCAGAGGTGCGTCTTCAGCGACAAGCACTCCGCGCATTCGCAATGTCGTATCATGGAGCTCTGGAGTCAAATCACTTACTAGATTCGCTGCAACAGAAGCTTGCGCAATGCTGTCAAGAAGCTGGTTAGTGCCCTTGCGTAGAGCTTTCACCCCCAGTCACCGCTTACACTGGCCTCGTCCTACAGAATGCGACCGCCAAAGTCGACACCATCATTGCAGAGAACCCCGGCAAATCCTTGGATGAGCTTGTTGTTGAGAAGAAGATCAATGCCGACCAGAAGGCACAGGCCCTGAAGAAGCCCTCTCTACAAGCCACCGTTGCCCAGATTGAGGAGCAGATTTCCCACCTCAAGGAATTCGCTGCCTATTACGAGGAACGCTTGGCTACCCAGAAGGCGGAGCTAGAGCAAGCTCACGAGGAGCAGCTCGCAGCTCTGCGGGAGCAGGCTGATGCGGATGCCGCTGAAACCAGCAAGAAGGATTTCAGCCAACAGCTATTAAACCTCAGCAAGTTCCTCTGCGCCGCGGCCACTATGAGACGTTCCGGAGACGAATCTTCGAACGAGAGCCGTGCATTCGAAGGCGTTCTGTACCAGATTTACGGAGGAACTCAGGATGCTGTGTCTTCGATGCTCAAGATCATCGAGGGCGCGGATGACAAGGTCGTCGGTGTTGACGGCACCGCGCTGGAGATCACCTGTGAGTACTGATGCTTTTGTGTCTCAAGTAATCGCTGCTAATTGCCTCGGGTCATAAGATGGTAAGGTGAAGCAGATCGCTACTGAGCTTGCTCCTGCTTCCGAACCTGCAACTACCGAGGCGGCTCCTGAGTCGGACCCTACTGTGGCCAATGCAGGCTACACTGAGTTGCAAGACTCATCCTACGACTCCAGTGCTGCCGCTGCGACTGAGCCTGCCGCGGAAGAGCAATCCGAACAGGTTGCCCCTCCTGCTCAGACTCTGACTATCGACGGCGCCAATCAAGTGGCTGAGGCTAGCTGGGATGCCAATGCGACTGAAGCTGTGGAAACTTCGCCCGCTGAAGAATGGGTCGAGGTGCCACGGGACCCTGCTGAAACCGAGACTGGACTTGAAGCTACTCCTGCCGCTGCTGAGGCCGAGGTGAAAGCCGACACAGCTGTGACTGAGACTACTGCGCCCAGCACCGAGGATGTTACTGTTCCTAAGCCCCAGGACGGCTTCGAAGCCGTCTCGCACCATCAGCGCCAGCCTAGCCGTGGTAGAGGCCGGGGTGGCCGGGGCCGTGGGTTCCGGGGCCGTGGCGGTCGTGGCGGTCGTGGAGGTCGTGGACGCGGTGGTGCCAATGGCTCCTCCGCGGCCCCTGCTCCCGGCCAGTAGAAGCCGCTTATAGGGAGTTGATAAGCTGCTGTGTGATTAAAGCAACGTTCGTCTCCGCGAGAGGCATTTGCTTTCTGTCGATTTGACTCCGACGCCAGCATCAATCTGTCTGGCCCTTCATCGAGCCTCTCTGACCTCGCTTTCTCAAGTCTTCTCTTGCCTCAGCCCGGTGTCCTTTTCTCTAATTTCTCTGAAATACTAATAAACTCAATGGGTAACGGGAGTGCTGTCATGGTTCACGAACGCAATGACTCTTGAAATGATTTACAACAAGGTTTCTTTAGAGTGAAGATAATAGCAGGGTGTCACTACTCCGCCGTTCTCTTCATTCTGCTTTTCTTTTGGATCTTTTCCCCAAAAGTTCCTGTTGTATATGTTTGCAGTTATTGAGCGTGCATATTGATTTCTGCAATTTTCTCCCCTTTGATATTTCTTCTATCTCGACTGTGCATTCCGCTCCGATATGGCCTTTTCTTTCTGCAGGTGGCGATGGTGCTTTTTGCACTGCCCCTGCATTCTACTTCACATGTATTCTATTTCCGATCATCATGTTGACATATGGAGATGGAGGTTTGGACGGGTTGCGGTGGAGAGGGGTGAGAATTATCTTGGTTGTTGACAGCCAAGGGCGGAGCATGATCAGAAGCTTTCAACGACGTGATAGGTAGATGATGAAAGCAGATGTTTTCCTCTCCGGAAGTTCTAGGTTCATTTTACGTGTAGAGAAAGAAAGCAAGATGATAAGAAGTGTAAGAGCTCCGACAGAGCTGTCTGAAAGAGGCAATGCCGCGGGTAGGGCATAGGGCTATGACATAACGGGGGGAGAGGCCATCTTGACTCTCCTTCCATCTACTTTTGCATCAGACAACCCTTCGACTGTCCAGTCACCTGCACTCTTTTCTTTCTCTTCCGTTCTTTTTATTCTAGTGTTGCTATTCGAACTACTTGTTCTCTTATTCTCTTATTTGTCTTTTCTGTCCGAAAACTTTCTCAATTGACCGTCATGGCATTACCCGCAGAGCAGCGGAAGAAGATCCTCAAGGTCTTGATGACCTCGCTACTCTTGGATTTGGTATGCGCCCCAGTTCACCGGCTAAAGCAAGACAAACACTGATACTCCTACACTAGATATCCTTTACTTTCATTCTACCACTCTTCCCTTCCCTACTTACTTTCTACCGCAATCAAGATCCGTCTCCCAACTCGCTCCTCAACCGCTTGTTCCACTATCTGAACGCCTATAAGAACTCATTTGCGAAACCCATCGATTCACGCTATGACATAGTTCTTCTGGGCGGCGCACTTGGCTCGCTGTTTTCTTTCTTACAGGCACTTGCAGCGCCATTCATTGGCCGCCTGTCAGATAAACACGGCCGCAAGACCGCTCTCCTCTGCTCTATGGTCGGTAACACCCTGAGCGTAGCTCTTTGGGTTACCGCGACAGACTTCCGAACTTTCCTCGCTAGTCGAATTGTCGGTGGCCTCAGTGAGGGCAACGTGCAGCTCGCAAATGCTATTGCCACTGATATCAGCGACCCCGGCCAGCGTGGCTCAACCATGGCCCTTGTTGGCGTCTGTTTCAGTATCGCCTTTACTTTCGGGCCCGCGCTCGGCGCAGCCCTCTCCAACATCACCACCGTTGCCGCCAATCCCTTTGCGACGGCCGCGGGCGTTTCGCTTCTCTTGATCGTCGTTGAAACCGCCTATCTGTACTTCTGTCTCCCGGAGACCCATCCTCGTTTTACCAAGCTGGTTCATGCCCTCAACACGAACAACACCAAGAACAACAACAAAAACAATAACGAAGCCCAACCATCCACCACGCCAGCCCATTCCGCGGAGCCTCAGGAACACACAAACAACCCCGCGCTCCTCAATCTGATCCATTTGCTATTCCTCCTCCCTTTCTCGGGCCTCGAATTTTCCCTCCCCTTCCTGACTGCCACTTTCTACGCGGGAAGCAAATCCAGCCCCTCCGCCCTCAACGGCCGTCTGCTCTCCATGATGGGTCTGATTGCCTCCCTCCTCCAGGGCACCGTGGTGCGCCGCCTGCCCCCGCTCAAAACCGTGCGCATCGGCGTCGTCGCATGCACGATCTCTTTCTTTATGCTTGCGCGCGTCTCCTCGCTGGGAGGCCTCTACGCTGCGGGCGGGCTATTAGCTATTACCAGTGCGACGGTCGTCACCGGGCTAAACAGCTTGGGGAGCTTCGAGGCCCAAGAGGAGAATCGTGGTGCCGTGTTAGGGAAATTGCGGAGTTGGGGACAGGTTGGACGCGCGGCCGGACCGCTGTTGTTCTGTTCCTTGTTCTGGTGGATGGGCCGGGAGGTGGCCTACACGGTTGGCGGATGTGCCATGTTGGTGGTCTGTGGAGGGGTGTTTGTTTTGCTGAGGGAGCCGGTCGTTGGTGGACAGAAGGAGTCCAAGAAGAAGAACTAGATCCTATACCTGTTTTCTTTTGAACTGCGACGCTGCGTCAGGCTCTATGGTCGGAGACGATTCGTCCCTCCATGCATTATTCGTGGGTTCCTGCACAGCTGCTGTCGTCATGTCTGATGTGAGGTTGGATAGATTTATATGGACATATTGCATCATCACTGGCTGGCCCAGTGCTTCCCACTCGGCTGGATAGCGCCGAGTTGCTTGCTGATACACCAAACTTGAGTCATTATTCATTACCTATGTGGCATAATTTACATGTTCGAAGACTTGTACAGTAAAATGGGAGATGAGAGAGGTCAAACATCGAACCCGGATAAGCTCAGACAACAGCCGTCCAGATATCCATCAGGTCCCGCGCGGTGGGGGGAGGCTTTCTTCTTTACGAAGAAGATAGAAAGAAGCGCACCCGGCTAACTCCCTTTTCCGCGAACGTCACGGGAGTCAATCCTCCTGAAATAAACGCGCCGGAGCAAATGCCAAGCCACAACAGCAGCAAACGTTACATTCAGCTTCAATAGACAATCAGGCATGACCGCCTAACTGATACCGCTTCTCACGCCCATGGAAGCCCCTCGCGCGCGTGAAGAAGCTGTCCCTCGGAGTCGAGTGGTAGCCCTGGAAGGCCAGGCCCGGCTCCGCCGGAGAGGGGTCCAGCGACTCCCTGGCCTTCCCAATCAACCAGTCGGCCAACGTGACGAATTTCGGGGTTCGTTCCCACCCACATGCATCATCGGCGTGTTCGATCGTATGCGACGCAATGCGACCCTCTTCGTCGAACGAGAAGATGAACAGCCCCGTGAACTGTTCCTCCTTGGAGAGTTTGAAGATCGGCGCATCCCCGCCCAGCAGCACGCTGAGGCCCTTGTTGGTTCCGGTTTGCGAAGGGCCGGTCCCCGAGGCCGGCGACGAGGAAGCGGAGGCGGCGGTGGTGGTGGTGGGACGCGGGTTGGAGGTGAAGGAGGGTTGCTGTTGCTGCCCGTGATGATAATTTTCGCTGCGCGGTTCGGTCCGCCACCGCACGACTAGGCGCTCGTCGCTGTCGTCTGGTTGTTCCCCGCTGGCATAGCGGGCCGGGTCCAGCACCGTGCCGGCGCGGACGATGCGCTCGCTGATGATCTTGAGTTTGACGTTGCCGAGGAGGGGCAGGCTGCTCCAGGCAACGGGCACAGTCCACAGTGCGGCTCGGTAGAGGGTTCGCCCTTTAACAGTAGGGAGATGAGGGTGGGTCGACGGAAAGAGGTGCAAGGTTATGCTCGGGGAGAGTATCTTAGGTGGCAGAGGATTGGTGAGGATGTTTGGGAGGAGAGGTGAGAGGATTCGAAGCGCTGGTCGGACGGTCTTGAGTCAGCACGTTTTTCTTTTCTGGTATTCCAGTACTAGACCTCTTCACGAAGCTTACTTTTTCCGAGCTTGAGAATGCGCTCGTCCGGCTGTTCATGATCCCCCCGCGGCCGCTCGAGTCCGTCGAAAGCGGACGGTTGGAATCCAGTTTGCGAGAATTGGGTCTGCGACGCCTGCGTCAACGAGGGTCCACGAAGAACCTCATGCTGAGCTGAGAGCCATGGAGTCGAAGAAAGATAGAACTGATGTGGAGGAGAAAAACGAGGACTAGGAATGGAGCTCGAACAATTGATGGGATGTGTTCCTCGTCGGCTTCGCGCGCAAGGAAGCGCACGGCCAGTAAGCGTCGGCATCACGGAGTCGTAGAAGAGGTGGACGGGACTCTCATCCAGGAAGCCTCTGTCGGAAGATCATCACATGCATTGCCAAGCAAAGTCAAGTCATAGAGGGTCAGATAGATATGATCAAGATGGTTAAGTTGGCTGGCAACATGGAAAGGTGAAGAAAGAGTCCCGTCGAAGATGGAGATGATTCGGCCGGAGATAGCTGTGATTGGTGCTTCGGCTATGACGTCGGCCCGTAAATCGATCAGGAATGTGGCCTGAGGCCACAAGGCATGAAGGCAGGAAGGTATGAAGGCCAAAATATGTGCGCATGCATTGGTGGTATCTATCATAATGATTATAGTGTGGTCATACCTTTGAAACAGGGCATGTCTCCCTTTACGTTCTCTCGTCATACTCCCCAAGATATCGCCTTTCGGCCAGTTCTCGGATCTTGTCTTGCAGGACGCCTCGGCCATACCGTTCAGCCACCTTGACGGCCGCCTCCACCATCTTGCCGTTGCGATCCCTCATCATCTGTACCAGTTCCAACGCCTTCATGCCTCGCTCCTCGCCCTCTCGGCACTCCACTGCTAGAAGTTGCAGCAGTATCTTATCCACCTCAACTTCCTTCCGAGCCAGCTCAGCGCGCTGACTTGCCGTGGCGTTAGTGGTAGACACCAGGTCTTCAAAGAGTGACAGCAAGATGTTTCCTCGGACAAAAGCTTCTTCAAACCGAGCTCCATCATGTCGAATCGAGCCACTGTCCTCGTCGTCTTCGGCTCCCTTGCCCGGTGTGTCGGAAATCGGGATGCGGAAGTCGAATTCGCTCAACAGCGGCCGCGGGAAGTACGGATACTTATCACCTCCCTTGAGAATGATGCAGTGGAACTTGTCCTGAGCCACAGCAACGGGCCAGTAGGTCTCCTCTTTCCGTCCGCTGGCTAATCGCTCTAGCTGCTTCGTGTCTAGCAGCGGTACCCACCGAGCCTGGCCATTGTTGCGCCAATGCTGCAGGACAAGCAACACGCCTTCGGAGTCATAAATGCATGGGTCCTGTAGCTCCAAGTCAGTATGTAAGTCCGGCATGGCAGGCTGGAGCAACCAACCCCATTATCAGAAAAGAAGACACTTTGCAACTCGGTATCTTCAGGCAGGGCGACAACGTCCTCATTTTGACAAATCTCGTCCCGCTTGACGTTTTCTACCGAGTATCGTAGTGTTGCTGTTCGGCCATCGCTGCTCAGTGGACCGTTGCCCACAGTCATGATATAGTCTCGCCATGCAGCACAAGTGACGGCAGGGCTCTTCTGCCGGTAAACTTTGAACGGGGTGCCGAATAATGTGTAGACACGAACGTAGTCTTTGGTCGTTACAGCAACAATGTAGGATTCACTGAGCGCCAGCGCTGTCGAGGCGAGTTAGCAAAGCCTGCAAGCCAGATTCTCGAGTTCCTTACCCCGGATGAATTCGCCCTTTGGAAGCTGCGTCCGCCAATCGGCCCGGGTTGTCCATGTCTCGTGAGGGCGATAGAAGATCGTCGCTGGACTGCCATCCGTGGGGTTATTGGAGAACAAAGTTCCATTGTCATCTAGGTCTTGTTAGTCCAGGGCTCGGCCCATGTGTGTTTGCTCTCAACCTACTCAGACAAGCCCGATCGTAAAGGTATGGATCCGTGAAGTGGAAATCACGGTGAAGCTCGCGGTCGTAAAATTCCACTGTGATGGTGTTATGGGTTTCTTGGTCAACCGTCCAGACACAACCGGTCAGGTTCAAACCTTCAACAGTTAGCGTTCGATCACAAGGGGTATTCTATGATCAAATCCAAAGCACATACAGAGGTAGCGTCTGTTGCCACGCCAGGGTGTGCTTCCTGGTTGGAGAGGAGGGTGAATCTTCGGCTTGGCAAAGGCCGTCAAGACTCGCTTGTCGGTATGGCCATCGATCTCATCCGTGTGTGAGCCAACTCGCTTGCCGAACCCATTGATGTCCTCCGCGTAGCCAGCCCCGTCATCATCCTCGACGAAATCATCCATGCCGACATCGCCATTGAGGATCTCATCGAGAGAGTCAAGGCTCCCGGCTCTTTGCCTCCGTTCGATGGTCTCCTTCGGGCGGTTCGCCAATGGCCGTCTTACATTGTCAGAGATTTCTGTCAAGGCCCCGGGGAAGATAGGTGCGGCCTGTAGTGGCTTCTCAAGCAGTGGCTGATGCTCCTTGGAAACGAAATCATCGTAGATAAACAATTCTCCGTCAGACGTTGTGAATGAGACCGAGTTTTTCGTTGGATGCCAGGCAAGATTTATCACGTTCGCAAAATCGTAGCGTTGTAATATCTTCTGCGTCCTTGTCTCCCATAGCAGGATCTGACCATCCGCGCCAGCAGTCGCAAGAAGCGCTCCATTAGGTGACCAAGCGAGCGCCGTAATCTGTCCATTATGACCGCCAGCAAACACCTTCTCCTTCTTCCACTCGCCCGTGGAAAAGATCGCAATATCCCGGGTCGCTTCGGCGGAAGCAAACGCCGTTCCGTCAGGATGCCAGACAATCCGGGATGTGGCCTCAACCTCCGGCTCAAGTCGCCTAATCACCCCGTCCAGCTTCTGCACCAATTCGGGTTCGTCCGAAAGTGTCGAGTAGATGTAAAGGATACCATCCGTACAGGAGACCATAACGTATCGGCCACTCGGATCGAAAGTAACGTGCTTGGCGCCTTTCGACTGTTCCCGTAGATACTTGACTTTAGTCATGTCCTCAATATTGACGATCTTCACTGTAAGCTCACTAAGAGGCAAAATTGTTAGCCAGCCCACTATACCACGCATTTAGGGAGTACAGATCTGACTTACTCGCTCGCTACCGCGGCCCACTCGCCATCCCTTGAGATTGCGATATCCCGTACTGGAAGCATGCATCGCACCAATAGCTTCACCATCTTGCCTGACTGAATCTCGTATTGCCAAACCGTGCCGTCTTCTGCGCCCATAATGAAAGATTCATTCTGCACTTGATTAGTCTTCGACCAGGCAATTCGAAGAGGAAAGCATACAGTAGCACCGATACCCAGATGCCCGTCGACGCCCTCGTCCACCGTCTTCGGCTCGCCATCTTGTCCCACGGTGTAGATACGAATTGCGGAGTTCGAACCGCCAGTAATCACGCGCCGGCCATCAGGCGTATATGCGAGTACTGTAGTGCCCGGGGTATCTGCGTTGTTTGATGCGCGTCAGCCTTCAATGCAGGTAGACAAGAGCGACAAGTGAGGTGTGGTGATCAGTTGCGAGACTCACGGGCGGGTCTGCCCCTAGGGCGCATTGCTTCAGAGGACATGATGATGTGGCCCCGGGCTTTGTCTTTGGCAGAGTCGCCGGATACCCGAGAAAAGGAAATGTAGAATTATAGAGAACCAAGTCAGTATACCTCCTTTCAAGGTACTGAGCTCAATCAGTTGTCGTTTGCAGCGTGTGATCGCGTATGTCCATGCAGCCGCGGCGGAACCACGAAGTACCCGGGGACGTGCTTTCGGGGCACGCGTTCGACGCGTATCGTCCCAAGTACTTTTGCCTTATCTGTCCCATGATAAGGGCTTAGGGCACGCTTTCAGGGCTACCCCTCTGGATCATTTATCATTCAATTCGACAAGCCATTCATACATCGTAGCTCGTCTAGTATTGACTATACGAAAACCATGGTCCTCCACAAAGTCATCGGATTTGAGACCCAGCGACCGCAAAGAACTCGGAGCCTTCGCGGACCGAGACTTTCTGACACTAGTTCACCGGCCTGTTTTTCTACTTGAATGCCCGCTTGCAGCTCCTCCGGGAAAGAATCTCGATCTTATTGCTACGATGTTGCAAGCAGTCCCAACGGGTTAAGGTCGGTAGCATATCATGAATAACTTCTCGAATTTTGGTATATACAAACAACCATAAATCAAACACCGTGTATATGCAAGGACAAATGTGAACTCAGTCCCTTTTGATTAGATGCGTTGCCGCATTCGTACCCTGATATCAGTCTTCGGCAAGAAAGCTGCAGCGGATGGTCTATGCTCTGGTATGGCAAAATCGTTGCCCTGGGCGGGCTCAACGTCCCACAAGGCGATGATCGCGGCAGAAAAAGCCAGAAGTTTTCGTTCTGCAAAAGCGCGACCTTTACACCCCGACACACCCCCGCCAAACGGTTTGATGACGTCCATACTTGCTTTCTTCTCGCCAGTGTCTGGGTCAGTCGTGACAAATCTCAGTGGATCAAACTGGCTAGGATTAGAGAAATATCGGTGGTCATTGTGGATGACGGCGTGAGGGATGACTATGGCATCACCCTTCTTAAATTTGTACGAACGAGGCTGCGATAAACCATCCAGAGCTGCATCTTCTTCGGATTCAGTCACAGTGAAGTCTGATGTGACATTCCGAAATGATAAAGATGCAGAGTCCAGGCGCAAAGTCTCATAAAAGCTAGCCTTCAGGAGAAGGCATGATTTGATGAGGCCTTCTGTATCGATAGACATGCGAGGAGGCTCGTCGAATGGAAGGCCAGTTTCTTCCCTGCTCGGTCGGGTAATCTTGACGAATGGAGCGATTTCTTGACGAATCTCACCCAGGAGAGCACTGTCGGCATATATGCGAAGGAGATGCCAGAAGACCACGTTGGGAGAGTTTGAGTTCATGGCCCAGAGCAGAGACAGATGTGCAGGAGCGCTTGATCTGGCAGAAAGCCCTAGGCTTTTGCACTTCCGTATCCGTTCCCTTAGAGGCTCTGAGATATCATCCAGGTCTCTGAAATCGGCGCCAGGATCCAGGCCATCGTCCCACGCCAAAAATGCTTTATGAAATTCCGTCAGAACTTCCAACAGCCGGTCACGGGCAGTATGCGCTGCAGATATGCCGGGATGTGATAGCCGAGGAAGGCCCGTGGCTACGGCAAGAAAATGGTTGTCAAGGGTGAAGACGTCAGGAAGCAAGGTTGGGTTGGCTTCCAAAATGCTCTCTCCTGTGAAAATAGCCGTTGTGATATGGCCAACAAAATGACGAATCAGGGCGAAGAAGTTGACCTCGCAGACCAGAATGTCATCCTGTCCAACCACCAGTGCCTGACTGCCGCGTTCCCATTGCATCTGATCGACTATGCTCCGGCAATTCGTAACCAAATTAGGGGTCTGGCGTTCAATCAAGCGGGTAGCAGTCCGTGTACCTTCCGTGAGGAAGGGTTCACGCATGAGCAGATTTGGCACACTGTGACTGAGCGCATGGTGGTCTGCAGGGCTCAGACTACGGAGCGCACCACGGTCACCGAAGACTGTCCGTAGGGCATAGTTCATTAAATCGGCCGAGGAGATGCCTCGTGCTGTAAACACAGCTTTGACTAATGAAGGGGCGACAATAGTGATGTGATTCGTGCCGCCCATATAGATGCCGAAGACAGGCTCGTTCATAAACTCCCTGAAAATGGGATGTTAGTTAAGATTAAAGGTCTCCGGCAAAGGTGGTGCACAGGAGAACAAACCTGGCATTCCCAATCAGCTTCACATGGTCCCGGGCGAAGGATATACCATGGCCTATCCAAGGGAGCCAGTAAGGCACCATCCGAGCCGAGCGTGTCGGTCCCGCCTCGGTTCCACTACCGAGGCGACTTTGCAGTCCGCTGATGAGGCGAGTCGCCACGCAAACGGACACCAGGAGAGCCACCCACGTAGGCCACCCCACGCTATTGAAGCCATCGCGTGCCAGGCGAATAAGCCCCCCGGGGGCTAAATCATATCCTTCCATTTCCCAAGCACAAGGGCGGATGCCCCTCAAGAAAAGTGCTGGTGCAGACCGGGACAGGGGTTGAATAGATCGACCGTCCGCACGATGGTCATACAATGCGCAAAACCAGAAGAATAGCTTAACCTCTCAAAACAATATCAGATCTCATATGAAGAATAAACGAAGAGGGAACCTTGCAACCTGGCGCTGTTTTAGAGCGCGGAGATTTATGCAAAGAAGTAGTAGGTTGACTCGCAGATGCAGTTGGGCTACAATACGGTAAAATTACCGTTGCTTATCTCAGCAGAACTCCCCTTCCTGCCTTGTTTTCGGGGCGATAACACATCTGCTACCTAGTATTCTCCAAGGCTCAATCAACAACTGGTTGACTCGACGGCTAAAAGCTGATCCATCAAATCCGAATCGGAGCTCGACTTGGTCTGAGGCAGTTCAGATTCAGTCTCAACAAGGATGCATCTTCCTGCGATCTTTTCACTGTGCGATAGGTCTTCTACGGAGGCTTGCGGCCGAAAGTAGACTTGACAGATCATTCCCTGTTCATTAACATTCGAAATTATGTACACTACATAATGCAATCATAACGCAGGCCGACTTTCCACTACCTGTTCAATGTTCCCGCCGCAGAATCTTCTGCAAGGTTGCGCTTTCTGTCTCATACCTGCTTACCTTGTTTTGTGAGCTATAAACCTTACCTAGGAGCCACTTGATCCGGCTGGCGAGCTCCCAAGGTTGCTTGGGCAGCGTTCCTAGAAGTTGCAACTCCTCCTCGTACTTGCTTATACTTTTGTTCTCGACACTAATGAGCTGTTTGAGAATTTCGAGATCTAGGCGGCTGCTCAAGGTCTTGTTCTCGGTGAGACGCTTGAAAACGGCCCGGTACACAGGCTTGCCAGGCTTGACCACATCGGGGCAACCATTGACTGAGTTGATAGAAATCAACTCCGCCTGCTCAAGAGCACGCAAGGATGCTTCACCGTTGTCCTTGAAAAGGTCGGATAGCAGGATCTGGTTGTAAGGTAGTGCCGCATCCTTAGCGTTGGCAAGTGTTTTGATTAGATGCCATGCCTGTTCCTGCGTCCACGACTTTGAGGTCGTGTCACTACCCAAGATGAACATCTTCAAAATCTCGGAGGCTGACTGCTCGATTATGCGGGTGACGGCAGCTGATTCTATGTGTTATTTGCTGGCCTTGTTCATGCATTGGCAGCCTCGGACTTACCTAAAGGGGTCTCTCCAGCTTCAATCCGTCGCGCCATGAACTCAAGGTCAGTGACCCGGCCTCCCAGTACCTGTATACAGCTGTCCAAGTCTGACAGGGTACCGAGGTCGAGAGTCTGTTTCGTGCCAGTTTTTGATTCGTATTCCAAATGACTGAGCACAAACTTCCTTCCTACCTCCGGTGAACAGTCGCCCAATGAAATGGTCCGGAACACAGAGTTGGGTAGAGCCTTGCTCAATGGCTTGGAGAAGGAGACGTCTGTGGTGAGAAAGATGACGTGCGCTATATTCCCAGTGGTCAAACCAGCGGCCCATTCGGTGAGTTTGTCATAGACTACACTGTCCTCGGAGAAATTGTGCAAGAAATTATCGATAACCACCACGGGCCTCTGCTCTGGATGAGCCTCAAGGTATTCCTCATCACTTAGATGGGCTTCTTTCTCATCGTTTTTCTTGTTCTCCAATGCAACTTTCTTGAGGGCAGTGGCGGTATTTTGCCAGATCTTGCTGAGCTGAGCATCCAAGGTCTCTGAAAACCCGGCTTTCGTGCCAATCATACCTTGAGCGGCCAGATCGATAAAGCTGCTCATGCTATTCATCCAGGAGAAGACCGGTCGGTATCCTACTTGGCTAGCAGCACGAGAAATCTTTGCCGTGTCACCTTTGGCATCCTGAATTTGCTTACAATCGATGACAACCTTGTACCTGTAGTTTTCCAGGGCGCGATCCAGAACAAGCTCTCGCTTTCCGGTGCCGCGAGGTCCGTGAATGACGATGAAAGTTTCAGCGTTCTCCATCAGCCACGACTGTAGCTGAGCGATATCACCTTGACGATCTTCCCAGATAGCCGTGAGCCGGCGCGGATCAGATCCGCGGCGGCCGAAATAAATGATATTGGCTTTGTTCACCTGGTTTCTGATCCACCGCAAGATGCTGTTTTCTTCTTTTTGCAAGGTCGCTTTGATCTTCATCTCAATGAAGAACGTTCGGATTGGGTCAAAAACAGTTACTGTGATGGCTGCGATGAGGGCGGCAATAATGGGAATTACAATCCTTGGATGGTTCAAGAGCCAGTCCTTGATCATGGACAACTTGATGTTGGCTTCATACTTAATCTTGATCCGGGTGCCGCACTTTCCACCACCTTCATGCTCCGGAATGGTGAAGCCGTGCACGCAGTTCTTAGCCATGACGGCGTTCCTCGCGCGGGAGAACACAATGAAAGCATATCTGGGCGTGACTTTGGAATCGGACGGCTGCCTTTCGATGTCTCTTAGCTTGCCGTACCGGCGAAACACACTGTACAGAGCCTCGGTGGTCGGTTCTCCTGCTGTCCCATTAGAGGAAGCAGGCAGGAATTCCACTCTCAGCCGTGGGGTGGGAATGCGGTATAGGTCCTCAATCCAGGGCCTGCCATGGACATGGGCCACGTTGACCTCCTGAAACGGGTTGAACCATGGCCTGATAGGGTGTTCTTTGAGGTGATTCTGTATCGCGGTTACGATGTCCAAGTCCTTGAGTCCATCCTTGCGGTTATACTTCACAAATGCGCCGCCTTCTCTGAAACGGGGGATAACCTCCCGAATATCGATGTCCAATGTTTGAGGAAAGACGCGACGTATTATGTGTAAAGGATCAGAAGCCGCTAGGTGTGGTCTGTCGATACGCTTCAATACTTGTTCGTATGACCGACCACCGCTAAGAGGTCCTTGTAGCAGCCATTGTAACCGCGAAGGAAAGATATCTGTTTAATGAGTGCATCAGCATGGAGTGGTGTTAGTTTGCGACTTGGAAGTCAATATATCATACTGTTCACGAAAATAAGCCCTTCACCGTCCTTCACTTCAATATGACCTGTTTCGATAGTGCTAATATGAGAAGAGCTACTGTTCAGTCTGGCGAGGATCCCTTTTGAGGAGGGAATGGAGAGCCCACTGGGACGCACATGGGCTCGGTAACCCCATGGCCTCACGATATGCACCGGAGCTCGCATCATCTCAGCGACGCAAGAGATGTGTAGGAGCAATGGTTTCATGGCTGGGTTCTTGGTTAATAGAGAGCATCCTATGACGTAGCTGGGGAGCTTTCATTATCTGTGAAATACAGCTTGTGACGATCGTGTTACAGGGCAGCCGTGCGGCCCCCGCTCCGGTACGGTCACACTACGTCTTCGATAAATTACAGCGCTATCGCCAATCAGAGTCCATCGACTCGCATATGTCCCTTTGATTCAAATCCGAGGTTCGGCCAATTCAACTGCCTCAAACAACAACTTTTTTTGATATTGGCCAGCGTCACCATGGGCTGGTTGTGGAAAACCCCTTCCAAGGAGGGCGAGTCTCAAACCTCGCCTCCTGCTTCATCTGGTCTACCTGATTCCGGTCTACCATCTGCACAGACAGCACATGCATCTACGCCGTCCTCATCAGCACAAGCGGATCAACCCCCAACATTAACTCGCGAAGAGCAAGCCGACGCCGAATGGAAGAAGTTAATCGCTAGTCTCGAGGGCGATATTAGCCAGAAATTACACGATCAACAGCGATCGACTCCCGAAACACCGTTTCTCGATACAACATCATCATTTTCTAATCCTCATTCTCCCCCGAACTCGATCGCCCCCGATTCTCTCTATCCCGATACCATGTCTTGCCGCTCGGCATTCGACTACGCCTTTTTCTGTCAGTCTTTCGGTGGCCAGTTTGTCAACGTTTACCGATACGGCGAGCTGCGGTCTTGCAGCGAGCATTGGAGTAATTTCTGGCTGTGCATGAAAACGCGCACCTGGGGTGACGAACGGCGCAAGGAGGCGATTCGGGATCATTACCGGAAGAAGGCTATCAAGTACAAGACAGGGCCCAGCAGTGAGGATGTCTGGGATGTGCGCACGGAATTTATCGGCGAGTGCTTCAATGGCGACTTCGCCGCGCTCGAGAGGGAGGTGAAGGCTGCCGAGGAGGCCGCAGCAGCGGCAGCGGCCAGCCAGAAAGCGGCCGCGGCATCCGCAACAGCAGAGGCGTCGTCAGCATCGTCATGAAAGAAACATTCTAGTCGGTGAAAGCCCTCTCTCCTCTAGCCCATTCTTCTTTGCCCGTGTAAAAATTTCCTGTCCATTTCCATGAACGTGCATGTTAGACTCGGTTGATCTTCATGTTAGTTTCGAATACGATACCTGTCCCTGGGGGATATTGTACGATAGCCATATTCAGATCAATCAAAAGAATGATAATGATTTGGCTAGACGATTGGAGGTGTTTTTCGTGGTCTCTTTGAATACTGGAGTGCAGATCAAAGAAGACCGCCATTGTTTTCGAAATCGCGGTGGTCAGGCCTGTGAATCCTCTTTGTTAATCAAACAAAACTTTGTTCCCAATGAGTTCTTGAAAGGAATTGATACGGGGATAGACTCCCTCAAAAGGGTCAGCCTGCGCCTTTTTTCCCCTTCGAATTTGCTGTTTCTTCCTATACATTGCACTACACTTCTCGACAACGACATCTGGACTCGCCCGTCCACAATCAAGCAGCAACTTCTTAATCCCTTCACAATCTTGAATCGCAAGATGGACAAGCTGACCGAGCAACCAGGCCAAAACAGAGCCAGGCGAGGTGCGTTTTCTGGAACCTCAAGTTCCGCAGCAGCAGCGGAGACAATGACACCAACACCAACATCAACTACACCAACTTCACTAACTACACCAACTACACCAACTGCCCCATCGCCATCTCACACGCCAGCACAGCCCTCCTACAGCACACTTCATTCATCGCATCATGAGGAGGGTACCGCGTACGTCCCTCAATATAGAGATGCAACCAATGGCTCTCATGACGAGGTCGAGTACCACCCTTTTACCGCCCACGACCCCCTCTACTACCACCCTCGATATCGCAAAGTCGTGACCTGGAGGCAGCCAACAGCAACCGTCATCCCCGCTCATGATTCGATTCCCCTACCAGACCACCCTCGGGAGACTCGCGCTCCTCCTCACCCTCCCTCTCCTCCCCCCATCCCCACGGATGCTAACTTGATGCCTCCGCCTCCTTTCCCCCGCCGTCTCCGTCCCCAGCCCCCGCAGCCCCCTTCCATCCTGAAACCCCCAACCAGGACCGACAGGGAGACCCTGCAGGGAAATCTCTGGGCCATGATGAAGCTCGCCGATCGCGAGCTCACCGCATGCCATGAAATCCTGGAGGCCACGAGTCAGCAGTGCCTGCAGCATCTCTTCGAGATCGACGAAGGCTTGAAATACCTCGATGCGCTGTTCCAGGAGGACGAGCGGCAGGCGGACATGCTGCGACGGTATGGGAGGCGCCACGAGCGCTCCGCTCATTGCCTGGCGAATGGGGATGTTCATTTCTGCGCGTATCGGTACGGCCGCGGTCGTGGGCCCAGGAGCACTCGTAATGAGCGGAGGACTGCAGGTATCAGTTCACCCTATCGTGGTGGCGGTCATCATGATTGGCAGAATAGCCAGCGCGGCTTGGACCGTACCGTTGCCAGTGGACGGGTGGTAAAGATGAGGAAGAAGTCGGACAGTATGACTGGGATCGCGGCTCGAATCAAGCTTGGGTACGAGGACTTGAAGAACCGCCTTCCTCGCCGTAGACTAGCGGGAGACGAGGACGAGAATTGGGGCGGGATTGAGGGTGAGAAAACAGAGATTGAGACAGAGGAGGAGGATGCGGACGACGATGATGATGAAGATTACTATGATGAGGACGACAACGAGGATTGATCGAAGCCAAGTCTCCAAGGAATGAGATGGGTAGACTGCGAGATGGTGGATGTCATATATTTTGTCAGTGCTCATAATGCTTGTAGACCTTGTTTGTTACCAGCTTGCACAAATTTGAACTCGAATTCAAACAGTAATCATACTGTGCCAAGTCACTCAAGATCATCAGATTGATATTGACGTGAATAGAATATGTACAGACAGCTAGAAAGTTGCACAGAATGACAAACGCTCCGACCTTACACAACACTTTGACGATGAAAAGAACGCTGCACAACTCAGGCAAACATAGAAATGAAGCAAAAGTCTTCAATCAGCCTCCTCAAAATAGTCTCTCGGAAAGATAGTAGACAACTGTATAGTTATAGGGATACGAGCCACCCGACGTTAATTTCACGGAAGCAACCAACTTTTCTTTTAGCTTTTCCTTGATCCGTTTTGCCTTGTAATATTGACAGTCATAGATTCATTGTGATCATGAGTCTCACTTTGGGTCGTTGTGCTGCTGGATCCTGCCCAGCATAATGAAACCGAGATACGTAACAAGATTTAAGCTGAGACGGTCTGTGGCGCCGACTGGGGTACTGCATCAATAGCAGGACGGCGAACGATCCCGCCAGTAACTGGAAGCTGGGAGCTGGTGCCCATGAGAGCAGCATCAACCTCACGGGCACACTGGCGACCCTCGTTGATGCCCCAGACGATGAGAGACTGGCCACGACGGCAGTCACCGGCAGCATAAACGCCAGGGACGTTGGTGGAGTACTGACCAGGAGGGGTCTTAACATTCTTACGCGCATCTCGCTCGATCTCATCTCCTAGAAGGCGATCTTCCGGTCCAAGGAAGCCCATTGAAAGAAGAACGAGATCGGCCGGGAAGAATTGCTCACTGCCTTCGACAGTCTTCATGTCCCATCCGCCAGAAGCACCCTTGGTCCACTCCACGCGAACAGTATTGATACCCTTAACGCGACCACTGCCATCGTCAACGAATTCCTTAGACATGACACAGTACTCGCGAGGGTCCTTGCCCATGTGTGTCTTGACTTCGGAATGGCCATAGTCAACCCGGTAAATGCGAGGCCATTGGGGCCAAGGGTTGTCACGGGCACGCTCCGGCGGAGGCTGGGGCAGCAACTCGAAGTTGGTAACAGATTTGGCGCCATGACGAACAGAAGTACCAATGCAGTCATTTCCGGTGTCACCACCACCAATAACCACAACGTGCTTGTCCTTGGCGGAGATGTATGCACCATCGGCCAGGTTGGAATCGAGGAGCGACTTGGTGTTGCGATGCAAGAATTGCATGGCGTAATGGATGCCCTCAAGCTCGCGTCCCGGGACCTTTAGATCACGAGCCACGGTGGCACCGGTAGCAATGATCACAGCATCGTTGGTCTTACGCAGGGTCTCCAAGCTGACATCGTGTTCAGGTCCAACGGGAGTGCTAGGGGCAAATTGGACGCCTTCAGCAGCCATCAGGTCAACACGACGCTGCACAACCTTCTTGTCCAGCTTCATGTTGGGAATACCATACATGAGCAGCCCACCAATACGATCAGCTCGCTCGTAGACAGTCACACTGTGCCCAGCACGATTGAGTTGATCTGCAGCAGCGAGACCGGCCGGACCAGAACCAATAATGGCAATAGTCTTACCAGTGCGAGTCTTAGGAGGACGAGGGACCATCCAGCCCATTTCGAACCCACGGTCAATGATAGCACACTCGATAGACTTGATGCCTACTGGGTCTTCGTTGATACCAAGGACACATGCACCCTCACAAGGCGCGGGGCAGACACGACCGGTGAATTCTGGGAAGTTGTTTGTCATGAGAAGACGGTTGAGCGCATCTTGCCACTGGTTCTGGAAGACCAGTTCATTCCACTTAGGGATGATATTGGAGATCGGACAACCAGTATCAGACTGACAGAATGGGACACCGCAGTCCATGCAACGAGCCGACTGGTACTTCAACTCATCCTCGCTGAGACGGGCAGAAAGCTCAGCCCAGTCACGCGTCCGAGTGGCTGGGTTTCGGTATTTTTCGCTGCGACGATTATACTTCATAAAACCTCTGGTCTTGTCGAGAATGAGAGCAGAGCGCTTCTTCTCGGTCTTCGAGTCACTGATGCTGTCTTCGATGTCGAGCATCTCAACCTTCTTCGCATCCTTTTCGGACTGAGCCTTCGATTTCTCAGCCGGAACCGGCGTACCCGGAAGCTGAGGGAGAGTGAACTCGGCCTTCTTTGCGGCCTTAGCCTTGGCACTTTCCTCCTCGAGGATGCGCTTGTAATCAATGGGCAAAACCTTGACGAAGTGGCGGAGAGCACGGGTGAAATCGAGCAAGATGCGAGCAGCCAATTCAGAACCGGTGTAGTGGTGGTGATCCTCAATCAAGCCACGAACGAAGGCGATTTCAGCGGGGTCCTCCAAACCGCTGACCTCGACCATCTCCATATTGACCTTGGAGTGGAAATCCTGGTTCTTATCCAAGATATAGGCGATACCACCGGACATGCCAGCGGCGAAGTTACGACCTGTGGAACCAAGCACAAGCACCCGACCGCCAGTCATATACTCACATCCATGGTCACCAACACCCTCAACGACAGCGGTAGCCCCGGAATTACGAACAGCAAAACGCTCAGCAGCCATACCGCGGAAGAAGCAAGTACCCCGAGTAGCACCGTAGAGACAGGTGTTGCCGACAATTACGTTCTCCTCGGCCTTGTATGCAGCGCCACGGGGAGGGTACACAATTAGGCGACCTCCAGAAAGACCCTTACCGACATAGTCGTTGGCGTCACCTTCCAGCTCGAGGGTGATACCCGGAGCAAGGTAAGCACCAAAGGACTGACCGGCCGAGCCCTTAATGTTCGAGTGAATAGTGTCTTGCGGGAGTCCTTCCCCACCATAGCGGCGACTGACCTGATAGGACAAGGTAGCACCCAAGGCACGATCCGTGTTGACGATATCGCATTCAATACGACAGGGCAAGCCCTTCTCCAAAGCAAGCTCGGATTCGGCAATTAACTTATTATCGAGACGAGTGTGGAGGCGATGGTCCTGCTTGCGAACATTGTAGGTAGCTACTCCAGGACGGAGGGAGTGGGCCGGGGTGAGAATGAGGGAGAGATCAATCTTCTCTTGTTTGGGGGTTTTGATACCATCTCGGATCCTGAGGAGCTCCGCACGACCCACCATCTCATTGACCGTGCGAATGCCCAACTTGGCCATGATGGCACGCATCTCGTTAGCAACATAGTAAAAGAAGTTGATCACATGCTCGGGAGTTCCCTGGAATTTAGCCCTCAGTGCTGGATCCTGGGTCGCAATTCCAACAGGACAAGTATTCAGATGACACTTGCGCATCATGATACATCCCATAGCAATCAAGGGAGTGGTGGCAAATCCGAATTCTTCTGCACCGAGCAGACAAGCGACAGCAAGATCACGACCGGTACGAATTTGACCGTCGGTCTGGACAACAACACGCCCGCGCAGGTCATTCAGGACAAGGGTCTGGTGGGTTTCGGCCAGACCCAACTCCCATGGGAGACCGGCATATTTGATACCAGTCCAACGGGACGCACCAGTACCACCATCGTGACCGGAGATCAGGATATGATCAGCCTTGGCCTTCGCGACACCGGAGGCAACAATACCAACACCGACCTCAGACACGAGCTTGACGGATACTCTTGCGCGAGGGTTGGAACATTTAAGATCGTAGATGAGTTGTTTAAGATCTTCAATGGAATAGATGTCGTGGTGCGGAGGTGGCGAAATTAACCCGACACCAGGAGTAGAGTAACGAGTACGGGCGATAGGGCCCACGACCTTGTGTCCAGGAAGCTCACCACCTTCACCGGGCTTAGCTCCTTGTGCCATCTTGATCTGTAGCTCATCAGCGTCCGCGAGGTAGTGAGAAGTCACACCGAAGCGACCGGAAGCAATCTGCTTGATGGCGGAGCGCATCGTATCGCCGTTCTCGAATCTCTTGCTTCTCTCGGGATCTTCGCCTCCTTCACCAGTGTTCGACTTTCCACCAAGGCGGTTCATAGCGACTGCCAAGGTAGAATGCGATTCCATGGATATCGAACCATAAGACATGGCACCTGTAACGAACCGACGCACAATTTCTGTCCAAGGTTCGACCTGGTCAATGGGAATGGGGGTCCGCTGTTCGAAGTCGAAGTCGAGCATACCACGCAGAGTACAATTCTTGATCTGCTCATGTTCAGCCTTAGCATACGCTTCATACGACTTGTCATTCTTTGTGCGGACAGCATCTTGCATGTTCGCGATGCTGACCGGGTCATTGATGTGCTCTTCCCCGCCATCACGCCAGTGATATTCGCCAGACTCAGGAAGACCGGGAATATCGACAATCTCACGCGAAGGGTATCCACGCTCGTGGAAGGCGAAGGCATCTTGAGCAATAAGCTCGAAAGTCATACCACGAATGCGGCTCGCAGTTCCCGCGAAGCAACGGTCAATGACACTATCATCGATACCGAGAGCTTCGAAAATCTGAGCGCCCTTGTAGGACTGCAAGGTGGAGATACCCATCTTGCTCATGACCTTGAGGATACCACCATCACAAGAAGCCTTGTAGTTCTCGATGACCTTCTCATCAGGGAGTTGCTTGCGAATCAGCTTTTCCCGGTTCATCTTGAGGATACACTCCATTGCAAGGTAAGGGTTGATAGCGTCGGCTCCGTACCCTACCAAAACACACATGTGATGTACCTCACGAGCCTCGGCGGTCTCGACGACGATGGCGGCGAGAGATCTCCATTTGTTACGGACCAAGTGATGATGAACAAGCCCAGTGGCCAAAAGAGCGGAGACAGGAACTCTCCCCGCCGACGTGGCTCGGTCCGAAAGCACAAGGACCTTGTCCCCGTTCTGGATTGCTTCGGTTGTGGCATCGCAGATGGCATCAAGAGCTTCAAGGTAGCCAGGGACACCCTTCTGCTTCTCGAATGTAATGTCGATGGTTTTGACTGTCCAATCCTTGTGAGCGCGATTGATATTCTTCAACGCGTTGAACTCGGGAATGCTCAGGATAGGGGATGGCAAGAGCAAGCGGTGACACTGTGACTGCTCCATTTCCAGAAGGTTGCCCTGAGGACCAACATAGCATTCTAGAGACATAACCACTGCCTCGCGGATAGGATCGATGGGAGGGTTCGTGACCTGAGCAAAGAGTTGACGGAAGTATTCGTAGAGAAGGCGTGGTTGCTTAGCAATACAGGCAAGAGGAGCATCGTTGCCCATTGACCCAAGGGCTTCCTTTGAATCAGCGGCCATAGGGCCGAGTAGCAGACTCACTTGCTCAAAGGAATAACCAAAGGCCTTCAGGCGGGGGTCATTCTGGATAGTCGTCTCATCTAATGGGGAGACGAGATCCACGCTCTGCGCATCCAATTTCTCTTTGATAGCAGGCAATTTCAGGAGTTCTTTTTCTAACCAGGAAGCGAAATCATGTCGGTGGGAGACAGTATACTTGAGTTCCGAGTCATCGATGATCCGGCCAGCCACGGTGTCAACCAGGAGCATCTTGCCGGGCTGCAAGCGGCCCTTCTGGATCACGCGTTCAGGATCGACGTCCACGGCACCAACCTCAGAGGCACAGATTATTCTGTCATCGTCCGTGACATAGAAGCGGCAAGGACGCAAGCCATTGCGGTCGAGGTTGGCTCCGCAATAGCGGCCGTCGGAGAAAGTAAAAAGTGCCGGGCCATCCCAGGGCTCCATCTGGCAGGCAGCCCATTCGTAGAAAGCAGCCTTGGCCGGGTCCATAGCCGGGTTGTCCTGCCACGCTTCAGGAATCATGAGCATGACTGCTTCGGGCAAGGAAAGAACTCCGTTGATCATCAGCAGCTCCAGAACGTTATCGAAGGCGGCAGAGTCGGAACCGCCATCCTCAACAATGGGATAGAGCGAGTCAAGCTCCGCTCCGAAAATATCGGACTTCAGCACACCCTCTCTAGCGCGCATCCAGTTCTTGTTGCCACGAAGGGTGTTGATTTCACCATTGTGGGCCGCCCATCGCAAAGGTTGCGCACGGTCCCATGAAGGAAAAGTGTTGGTCGAGAAACGAGAATGGACGAGAGCAAAGTGACCCTCATAATCTACATTGACCAGGTCGTGGTAGTACTGGTACACCTGCACTGGAGCCAGCTGACCCTTGTAGACAATGTTCCGGTTACTGAGAGAGCAGAGGTAGAACCAGTTGGCAAGGCCAATCACATGGGTGGCACGCTTCCGTAGAACGTACAGCTGGAGCTCGAAAGTCTTGTCGTCAAATTGTGCTGCGTCAGTGACTTCGGGCTTGTTGCCTTCGCCATACGCTGACTTCAGCACCACGAAGGGTTGCATGATGATGGGCTCCCGTGAGAGCGCAGCAGGGCCGAGAATGGTCGAATCGCGAGGAACCTCGCGCCATCCCAGCACGCGTAGACCCAAAGACGTTGCAATTTCCTCGAATGTGTTGGTAGACTCTTTCAGAGACTCTTCGTCTGGCTTGAAGAACAAGTTTCCGACGGCATACTGGCCGAGAGGAGGGAGATCAACTCCGACTTCCCGGGCGAAATTCTTGATGAAGAACTTGTGTGGAATACTGGTCATCACACCAGCACCATCACCGTCCCGTGCATCTGAACCAACGGCGCCACGATGCGTCATGTTACAGAGCAGGTTACGAGCTGTAAGTCCATGCTTCCATTAATAAACCAGTTGCCAGGGAACGTTGATGCCGGCGCGGGACAACTTACCATCACTGACAATCTTGTGGCTAGGCTTTCCTTTGATGTGTCTGTCGAGAGTCCTTGTTAGTGACCTTGCCAGTCTTCTGGGCGCCCTCGAGGTTGCGCATTTTAATGATGGTGAAGGAAGACGCCGGGCACTTACGCGGCGAAGCCTACACCACAAGCATCCTTTTCATATTCAGGGTCATAGAGACCTTGCCGCTCGGGCAAGGTGTTGGCCCAGCCATACCCCTGCTTCGGCTGGTACTCCGAATACTCATTCGGTTTCTGCTCATCGACTATAGGTTGGCCATAGAGTTCCTCCAAGTTCAGACCCATTCTTCCGTCGGTAGCCGACAGAGAATGTGGTAGTAAGACGGAAGCTAGGAGGGGAGCTTTTGTGTGTTGGAGGAGGGACCACCGGGGGTGTAGAATGGAAGGCGCTCGTTATGTGGGGGGGGGAGGGGCGGGACTATGTTGTCACAGAGTTGGAGGGTCAAGAGCGCAGGTAAGGAGGGACAGTCGAGGCGCTGCTGTCGATGACCCAACGTCTAGCTTCTGATGAGGATTTGAATGGAAGAAGAGAGAGGGAAAGAGTAAAGAGGAAGGAAAGGAGGGGAAGATATTACTTAAAGAGTGCCGATCCGTGAGCCCGAGGGAGAAGAAATTGGGTGGAGGGGGGGGAGGGGAGGAGGGGGAGGAGGAAATGAATTAAAAAGGGTAACCAAAGCGGAAGGATGGACGGGGGGCAGGGGTCCGGGGATGTCCAATTCGATGTACTAATAATGCTTGAACAATATGCTCCTGCTCCTACTCCTGCATGTATGATCATTTGTTAGTGGCTAACGTACTGTCTACTAACTTAACCGAACAGACTACTGTAAGAGCAGAGGAAGAAAAAAAATACGACAGTGGAGATGATCAGAGAACAGCCGTGGCAAACTGCAGCTTGACGGAGGACAAGTACTGAGTAGTAGATGACTTAGTGCTGGTAACTAGTGGTGGTGGTAGTGATGATGGTGGTAGTAGTGGTATTAGCAGCAGTTAATTAGACTAGAAAGTATCCCTCTCGTACAGTACAGTCAGTCCACAGTGAACAACCGACGGGCGCAAGAGGGAAACGGAGCTAATACTTGGGACTAGTCAGTCACAGACAACTTTACTCGTTGGTTTGTTGCTCTTTGCTGCATCCGCATTCTACCAGTCGATGGTAGCTTTCCACTCCCGAGCCGCCTAGAAGCAACAAAATGAGGTCGTTTTCGGGCTGGCACCATTCGCTTTCTCTACCATCCCAACCACCGTTGTACAAATACGTAGGGATACGTAAAGGGATCGAAGGGATCGACAAGCACTTTCATCATGATTTTGTTGTGTTGGTGCTTCTAGTCTACCTAGTATTACTCGTTCTCAGTAGACTCATCATGCAAGAAGGTAGGTAACTAGAGGTTGAAATGACTGCACTTCAGTTCGGGTCTTCTAGAGTGCAGGCAGATAAGCACCCGTGCACCAATCAGGACAGCCGCTTTACAAGTCGAGGACACTTTGGCTGGTAGATTAGGTTTCAACTACGTCAAGATCCAGGCCGGTGGAGCTTCGGTCCCAAACCCAGAAAAAAAGAGGTTGCTTCCAACTGACGGCGCTAGTCCTTCCTTGCCTGAACCGCTGCTGTAATTTCGTATTGGGCTGTAATAGTTTACCCGGATCCTCCACTCTGTAATCCCAAAACAACATTTCTTGTAGGTCAAGGAAATTGGGTTCTTGTCTCCAACTCTCCAATTCTCTCTCATAATGAGTTTGGCCCTGGAGTTCTTTCGTTATCCAAAAAGAGGAAATTGACCCATGCCATTACCTATTACCATTCATGTGGGTTTGGAGATGGCGAGACTTGCAATATCCTCTATTTCATCTCCTAGCAAAAGTGATGTTGAATATAATTGGCCAAGTGTATAGTGCAGACGAGAGGTGGATTGTTCTAGATGACTGTGCTACGGATAGCACACTCACCTCAGCTGTTAGGGTTAGAGGTTGGTGGCTACTGCATTGTTATCCCATCGCCAAGGACGCTGCATACCGTCCTGTGCCTCTGATTCTCTGGCAGAGCGCACAAATGTTATACTAAGTCATCCAAAAACACAATATATTGATTTTGCTGGGCAAAATACTCTACACGGCGCCTTCGCGATCTGCCACATTACAACCACAGAGCGCAGCGCCCCAATCGATAGATGGAGGCATTGAACGACTTGAGTAGTGTCCCTCTTCGGAGTTTGGTCATGGCGACCACAAGAGCGGAAAGACTGTAGGAACAGAGTGACCATCCCTGTCTCCTAATAATAATGAAAGTCCTTTGATTAACTGGTACGTACTGCTTTGCAACTGAGTGCAGCTTACTAGAACTTACCCCACGCTGCGGTGCAGGCTGTCGGGCGATCAATGGTAAGTTAATCAAGACGGTATAACAAGTGCATACACGATTACAGCTAGTATATGTATTATTGGCAGATGCCGGGATGGTGGGATGAGTTCCCTGGGAACGGAGCGGTAATCTACACACTTGCGATGCATCCTGCCCACCACCTGCACCAGCTTGGTTGCTTGCTTAGCTGTCTGTCCGCCCGACCGTTCGAGGTCAGCTCAGACCTTCCGACAACGGCCAAGCTGGGCGCCTTTCCCTATTCATCCCGGGATCCCTCCCCTCTCCCTCTCCCTCCTCTCTTGGGCCACGTTTCCCACTGGCCCCCTTCCTGAAAGTGCTACCAGCTGGCCACAGCGGCTGCCTCCAGGCTCTTCGAGCCTTGCCCCGATTCCGGAGGCTTCTGCCCCTGTAACTACTTACCTAAGAGACTGTCTAGCCCCTTTGGGAATCTCCGTAGCTCATTCTTTCAAGTCATCCCGGGCCCCTATTGGAACTTACCACTTATCAACTAATCTCTAAGTTCCTACTCGATCTTCATTTACAGATTGAACATACCATTCAGATCCTTTTCACAACTTTTTCTCTGCTGTAATCAAGGAGCGCCTATGTAGCTATTATTTCTATTCTTGTCTATTTTCCGGGGAATATCCACCCTGACAGCTCCCCTCCCCTCTGTTTCGCTGCCGAGGGGCCGAGTCAACGCTTTCCCCGTGGGATCGAAGCATTCCATGCCCGGGATTGGTGTGCGCACTGTATAGTAACGTAGTAGGGTGCACAAGTAGGTACTAGGTAGGTCCGGGGACAACTCAATTAGCCGTTGAATGGCCCCCGACCAATAAACGCCGCCTCATCTTGCATACACCATCCCCGGAAATACGAGCGGTTCACATGGCCGGGCATCTACAGTAGCAGCTATCTGCCCACTGCCCACGGATGATTTGCAGAAGTACAGTGCTGTACTCCGTACTTTAGCAGACTACCTATTATTACCTTCGCCTGCAACCTATCAATTGCCCACTCACGACTTCGGGATTTCACAACGCAGAGATAGGATGTTTAGTTCCGAATCCCAAGACCGATAAGCATAGCCGACATCAATAAATGTAATGCAAATTGTCATACACAGATCTATCAATCTAGCCTTCTCGATATCGCTTCATGCTGTATGGAGCATAAATCCTGAGAGGGCATGTGCATGCGAGTTAGCGATCCCCAGATCATACCTACTGCGTGACAACTGCCAAAATTTGTGGCCTGTGGCTACGACTCAATCCCCCAACCCCGAGACCTTTCTCTCAGACGACCTTTTAATCGATAAGGCGGCACCAGCAACCCCTCCTCTTATCACCGATCGAGTTCAAAACCCCTACATTTCGGCCGATTCGAAGTCGAGACAGAACAGGCAATCAAATCCTCAGCTGCAGCGATCATGCCCATGGCCAACATCCACCACCATTAGTCAATTCATGGCACATCGCTAGCTCTCGGGGAACCTGCACTCTCGGGGTTGAGGAAGGATGGAGATGGGCCCGAACTTGTCTCCCTCGGTATGGAGAGCGTCTCCAATACAAGCCGATAGTGTAGGAAAAATCAAGAATCCCACAACAAAGCGGTTGTTGTGTCAGTCACTCAGTCGGGACGCGCAACCTGCCCAGTGCCCACACCAGAGGATGTTCAGTGCATGAGGAATGGAAGTTGGGACGGGCATCACATGACCGAGCGGAGATGCCAATGTTTCCGTCTCCCGAATTCTTCCGGAGCGTGTATGCTCAGGCTTGACCAGTTTAGGTTCACCGGATGTGATCTTGTCGAAGTAGCGGAAGACTGCAACCCTTCGGGACTTTTAGGAGTCGATGACGGTAACTTAACGGCCGCAAATAAGTAACTTACTGGTCCTGACGGAGAACTGTACAGTACCTAGTTACAGTACACTAAGGTACAGTACTTACCAGACAGCAGCCTTCCATCTTCTTCCCTACAGCTGCTCCGGGGAGAGTGCAGGGCCGCAGGCAGAAGTCGTTCCTCTGTCCAGGCTCCCTCGGCTGATGATTTGTCCTCCTCCGACTGGATGAAGTTCAATGGCTCATCTTGCAGGAGTGGTTTGTCCTCTGCCACTGCAGCACCCGTTACAGGCTACTGCACCTCGGTAGACAGAATGTGGAAGGACTTGTGGTGGAGCAGACTGCTCCGCGCAAATGGTCTGATCCTCACATCCCTGAGTGACTTGCAGTCGGTCTACACTACATAGTTACTTGGTACGCACAGTCTCTCTACACCGAGTCTCTCTCCCGCACGGGTCGAACGACTACTGAAGGAATGTTTGCTTGACTATACAGCTCATCAACTACCCCACCATCCTGGAATTGCTCCTGAGTGAGTGAGTAGACTGACCTTCACCTGGCCTCACCCCGACTATACAGGAATACAAGAACAATTTCACAAATACTTGCTCGTCCGATGGGTTGGAGCAATTCCACAGAATCTATGTATACATATATAGTGCAGACATTGCAGCTTCCGCAGATACAGGAGATGGCCATTGCCACTGTCCTTTGAGCTGCAGACGAAGGAATCGCTACTTGCGCGGATCTCACTCTAAGAGTCATGGACGTTGATCACAAGGGCGTTACTGGATGTGACTATCAAATCTTGTGTAGATTTAGCACATACTTGGCTCTTGTAGTTCGAAGCTATTGGCTGTGGCTGTACCTATTTAGTGTCTAGTAACCCAGAAGCATCAAATAGTTGCTTTATAGTTAACGAGCTAGTCTGTGCAGAGTATGTGTAGTCAATTGACAAGCTAGGTCGAGAAAATCTACTGAATCAATTGTATAGTCCCGGTTCTGTGCCATTGTAGGCCAGTGTTTAGAATGTCGGAATACAGCGGCAGACTCGAACAGGTAAGCTTCCGTCGGGGATGTCCTTCCCCGCACGCGGAGACTCACTCCTCTTCCGCCATTAATTGTTGTTTTTTCTCGGTTTCCCCTTGCAACTGTCACTCATTAGCATCCACATACACAGCACGGAAACAAGTCGCGCAAAAAGGCATTTCGCACCCTGTCGCAGATAGTGCTCCTTCTGTCTAGCCTCAAGACTACAGCGAGGCACACCTAGCTGCGCCATTATTCCGGCCAGCCACACAGCAACACGCATATTCCACCCGAACGGCCTGGCTGGATACAAACAAACCGCAATGCTCTCTCTTCCCCTCATTACCCCCCGCGATGTACGTCATCTCTGCCTTGAAGAAAGATGACTTTCAAAAGCCAGTCGGTCTCATGCAATTTCTCGTCTCTAACAAACCATTTTAGTCCCACGAGCTCTGGTTCGGTTCGTCTCAACCTTACCGCTCGTCATCCTCCACGTCCGCGACACCTAATCACTCCCACCACCACCATCACCCGGGAGAACCCCACGGCCCCAATCGCCGCAATGGCAGCAACCACCCCAACACCGGACGCGGCCTCTCTGCCTCCTCTGGAAACATGCTCTCATCCCTTCTCCTCGAGGAACGAGCCCTCCGCGCCCGCAAGAACAACATCGCCTCGTTCGGTTATTCGTGGATCAAACCGGCCGGCTGTCCAAAGACGATGCTGGGGATGAAAGAGGAGGAAGCGGAACGCGAGGAGGCTCTGGCGGCCGCGGCCGCGGAGATGGCAGCTGCGGCTGCCGCCGCCGAGGCGGGCATGGATGACTTTGGGGGCGAGACGCAGGATACAATGGACGGAGAGGGGATGCAGGACGATACGGGAATGGAAAGAGACTTGGATGACGATATCCCTGACGCTGATGCAGACGGTCTAGTCGAGGAAGGGGAAGAAGGTCTGGAGGAGGAAGGTGTTGTGGACGAGGATGAGGAGGGATACATGGAACGCGATCTAGATGATGACATTCCCGAGGCCTTTTCTGGCTACGATGACGACGATGAGGAAGATTTGGACGAGGAGAACGAGGGTTTCGACGACCAACCAGACCTGGACGCTGACATCCCGAGTGCGGCGGAGGAAGGTTACGATGATGATGACGATGATGACGATATGAGCGAAAACGGAGCCATGGGCCGTGATCTGGACGATGACATTCCCGAGGCTGATAACGATCACTATGCACAGGGTGAGGAAGAGGAATGGCAACATACGGATACCGACGCCGAATTTGACGATGAAGAGGATGTCAGCTTCGCGCAGGATCCCTTTACGCAAAGTCTTCGCGCGAGTACGAGCAGTCGTGGTGGCTTGCCTCCGGTGCCAATGCGACGAGAGCGAGAGACAGAGGCCCAGCGAAGGTTCTTGCAGCGTTGGAGTGGTGGCGGGGATGCGTTTGACACCAGCAGCATGCTTGTAGACGAAGAAGATCTACGAGCATCGATAGCCAACCAGGCCAGTCGGAGGAGTGTTTTCAGCCGGTTCCCTCGTCGTCAAATGGGAGGCCCCAGAGACAGCCTCGAATAAAGTTCTACCTCTGCATTGTTGCAGTCTGATGTTTGAGTGTTAACATGTGCGGTGTGTATGAAGGTCGTTTTTCTTTCTCCTGGTGGAGGGTGGAAATCATGGCAGTCAATCTGGCTCAAACCGGGGAATGAGTAGGCCAAGTATGTACTAGTACATTGTAGAAGAGCTAGGCGCATGATCAAGATTACTGTTTCCAGACGGTATATATGGTTACCAGTCGCTATAGAGATACCCATTCCATGCCATACTATCACATTTTAGAGCAGGAAATTCCACCGCTAACAATACTCTGATAATTCAGGTGCTTTCTTGCATGAACCATGTTGCATAAGTAAGTGTGATTCCCCTGTGCAGCTGCTCAGTTGAAAGTGAGTGGCCAGGGCTACCCCAAAGTGCCAACAAGCTCAATCCTTGTGCTATAAAGATGAGAAGATAGCCAGCTAGGCGCAGTGATAGCCATAGCCCTATGCATAAATTATATACACATCACATTGTACACTGATAACCAAAAGCATCGAGGTTTCACTCGCTCGTTACATTGGAGGCCACAAGCAGCCTAGAGACAAAACTCCGGATATGCATTGTCATAGCGAAAAAAGAAGCTCGACAGAAGAACGAGACAACAAGAATCATTATACATTTGCCATAGAAGTGAGTGCCAAGGTCTGCAGGTTAGACAATTATTTGCAGTGCTATCCGAATGGCCAGTCTTCTAATTGAGAACGCCGTGGTGCACGAATCATGTTGGCTGGGAAGAAAAGATAAATTAGGTAGTATAAGGAAAGCGCATCGGCCAAACACAGGGGGCGTCGAATGAAGCGCATGCTGAGCGAGAGCAAAAGTTCGTAGCACAAGCGGAGATACCGCACTTGGGTTCTGATGTTCGGGAAATGTTGGGAGCGAGTGGTTCTGAGAAGCGTGCCTGCGCCCGTCGACTAGGTTATCCACACATACGCGAATAGCAAGAAGACAGCCAGGAAGAAGGCCAGCCAGACTCGCCAGCCCACACCGGTGCGCTCCGCCATCCGCAGCATACGGGTCATGTTACCGCGGAGACGCACTCTAGTGTTCTCGAAAGTGTTGTTGAGGTCGGAAATCGCCGAGGTATCCCGGATCTCATCGCCGATGGCGACAGTAAGCTGGAAGCGAGCAATTAGTGTCACCTGCCTGGATCAAATTGCCTGCATCCTTACATCTTTCAACATCTTGACCTTTGCACTGATTCCTTCCACCTCTGCATCGTTCTGCGACTCCAAATGGTCGAGAACAGCATCCGAGTAATGGCCTCTACAAGCCGGAAGATGTAAGCCAGTTGCACACTCGATCCCTTCGAAATGCCCGTCTTTTATTTGGAATGCGGACAACTCACTTCTTGTTCGGGGTTGCTGTCCTGTATCCTCCTGTAGGCCCGCCAGTCCCCAAGCCCTCGCCAGCCGGTGGAGTGTAGCCTCCGTATCCGTATCCTCCTATGCGGCCAGGAGATCGACTGGCCGGCCGAGAATCGCCGCCATAAGAGTCGAAAAGGGAAGACGAGGCGCGGGGATCGCGTTGATGAAGATTTGAACGTGGAAATCTAGTGACGCATGATTAGTTCCATTACTACTACTGATGCGGATGAAGATGGCATGGTCATACCGTGAGGCCATAACGAGTCGTTTCGTAGTCGTGGGCGGGTGAGGTCGATAAAGGGAATTATTTCAACAGCTCATGCAACTTAGCTGGCAAGCATTTTCGATAAGTATTATGGGACGCTCTCGACCAGTTCCAGCCTGTCTGAATGGCTATGGAGCTGACGGATCTGTCATGCGACGGGGTATTGCAAGTTGGTTGCGGCGATTGACTCGGAGAAACACGCTGGCTGCTAGCCGGGCCTCTCTGCTCGGGCGGAGACGCCTCCGGCACGTGAGCCAGCCTACATGTTCAACGTTACTGAACAGCTCCTGCTTGATCCTTGAATATGCGATTGGTTTATGATTTCATTTCATTACTGCAATCAATGCAATTATCCTCTCACTATTCGACCGGACTGTAGTTTATGCTAAAACAACCGCGAGGCGAGATCTGTAAACTCATGTTGGCTCCGATGAAGTGTGCATTGCATGCACATAAATAGCAAAGATCTCAGCGCGGACAGACACAGAAACATTTGTAGAATATTCTTTTATCCCAAGCCAGGAAAAAGCCAGCATTGATTAAATGGCAAAATAATCCCCGATGTTAACGAATCCGATGAAGACCCCCAAAATCCTGCCTGCGCCTGTCAACCAATTGCCCGTTCACACTCGCCGCCCCTATGTTAATGGTGGTATGATAGTCTCGTCCGAGTCATTAAGAGATCGTGCATTTCAGCCGCGCATGACGGTATCCTCATCATCTTCCCCACCCTCATAATCCTCATCGTCGTCCTCCTCGTCGTCGTCCATCATGTTATCGGCCTTTAGCTTCTCGGCTGCCGCCTGATAATCAACGATCTTGCCGCGAGTACGACGGCCACCCGAGATGATGTTGTCTTCAGATATGGGCTCGAGGTTATCGCCGTCATCATCATTATCTGCCGAAAAGGTTAAAGGGTTAGCCTGGCACTGATTGTAATGCTGTAGCTCATTGCATATCATACCGTCTTCAGCCTGTATACCATCGCGAGAAAATTGGTTAGTTTCGCAAGTCAGATAATGTTGTCAGGGTGGGGATTGCCGTACCATCTCCTCGTTCTCGCTCTCGTCGCTATCCTCCTCCTCTAGGTTTTCGTCGTGGGTAGGTTCGGTAGCCCGGCCCTTGCCCTTGTCCAGAGCAGCGGCATCGGGGGCGTTGGCGGCGCGGTCGTAGCCGGGAGTAGTGGCCTGGTTGCTGTCACCCATGATGAAAAGTTCTCGGTTCTAGGGCGAAGGGTCGGAAATGGATTAGGATGTATGAGTGCGCAAAGGTAATGAAGAGAGAAAGGAAATACAGAAGGATGGTCCAAAGCAGAGATTTTAGGGATGTGTTGCAGGCGCAAGGGAGATTCAGCTCAACCGTCCCCGGAGCGGTGGTTGCCCAGGGCGGCACACCTGCGGCTCCCGTGACTGGGAACTGAGGATTGAGGCGCCCACCACCTTATGCATAACAAACATGTTACCTAACTGAACCCCAGCCTAGCGGAATCACTCAGTAACTTATCCCAATCCTCTAGAGACTCACGATGGTCTTCTTTTCTATGTTCAAATATAGTTATGATAGATGTGCCATGCCTTGCTACACTTCGACTTTTGCTCTTGGTAGCTCTAGGTCATAGAAAATAGGTGTAACATCGATAATATAGTACAACTCCGATCAACCATCATGTTTTTCGTTTGAGTTTCCAACGCCTCGTCTCTTCCGCTTCCCCTTGCTGCTGTTCATATAGCCTCCTCATAGTAGATATCTTTCTACTAACCAAGGCCTTATCCACATTTCCACCCCACAAATAAAACGAAAGACTAAAAGTGGTTTGCATCCAGGCGCTTTCACAAAAACAAGAGCAAAAGGAAACGTTTCATCATAGACGTTGAACGGCTGGCAAGCACTCATGCACAAGTCAGAGACTGACCTTGTTGCATTAATCAATGGTCCATAATGCGTTGACATGAAGGATGCCCGTTCCACTCTCAAAATGCTTCTTTTATCGTCTTGATAGGCTCAGCCTCTCCACTAGAACCATTATATGTTCAGGAGAGGCTCAGGCACTTATAATCAAAGCGCTGATAGCTCCGGGATAGAGCCTGATGTATTTTCAGAGTAGACAAATAGATCTACTACTTTGGGGGGTGCGAATGCTTGCGAAACCCGGTTCAGCTGTATCTTAAGCAAGGCACAATGATCTCCATCATGCCCCAAAGTGACGAGTGCGGTCTTGGATCCGGTGATTGTGCGGGTGTCGAGCAGGCGGACGGAGAGGATCTTCCCTGGGATCATGGGATCTGCGAGAGCCCGGTAACGGACAGCAGACCGTCGACCTTGATGGGACGATACACGTTGTGCTCAAAGTAGGCGGGAATGTAGCGCAGACCGAAATGGAACACCCAGAGCGTCAAACTGGACTCTCGGTTGAAGTAATGTAGTTGGACAGATCAAGCCGTGCACGGCACTCTTCTTGTGGGTTCTTGAAGACGGTGGCGCCACTGAGGGCCATGAAGCGAAGGAATTTAGTCCCTTCACAAATGCCTATAGTAGACCGATAAGTCTACGTTCGAAGAGGGCAAATACCTTCGCAGATCTGATTGAGCTGTGCCGCAAGCTGAGCACGACATTCGCAATCTCTGTCCAGCCATGCAACAGGTAACTTAGCACATCCGAGAATTATCAGCGAAGGCGCCTGACAGAATTTGAATATATTGTTGCCTTTTACAGCCTGGATGTATGATCCGATGCTTTTCGAGTCTTGAAGCTTGGTATGCTGGGAAAGCGTTAGATTAATACTTTTAGATCTTCTCTGGTTTAGAAGTACTTACCTGTTTATCTGATCCAGTTATGGAACGCTTCCATCGGACTCGCATGTCTGATTCCAATAGGCAAAGATTTTGCAGACTTGGGCCTTTGTCAGAACACGGCGGATAGTGAATCAATAAGACAAAGCATAACGGATCGATAAGAAAAGGCACCGAGTTGGAAATTACTTCCAAGCTGCACATATGCAGCGCAGACATGCCTTATTCATGCCATCGAATGCCGGCGCTTAGTTCGGCTAAGCTTCGCAGATGTCAGGACAAAAGAACGACAAGTATGTGGAGGCTGAAAGACATAAGCGACATACAGAGACAACTTGGCAAAGCCGCAACAGCTGAGCTTCCAGCATTACCGAAATCAAGCGGGACGCTTTAGATATTTGAAATCGGAACCCGAATGTTAAATTGGGCCCAGATTCACAAGCTACATAGATTGTGGAGCAGAGGAAACCCCCCGAGCCCGTTCTGAACCAGCGATAACCAATCAGTCCCAAAGGAGATACACGCGCATAGCTATGGCCGATGGTAGGATGTGTTGTGTACTGGTAAAATATTCTTTCTTCTCCGAGCAAATGCTCTTGTTGAAACCTACTATGATTGCTATGGTCTGCTGGAGACGTCCTCGCTGCGTTCGACATATTTCTTACTGATATGGCAGAAATACAAACCGGGGATGGAGGCACACGCAACATTGGCTATTGAGGGAGTTGCTTACAATAAATAAGGCTACATGAATTAGTTTCAGGACACATAACCTGGCTGTTGCCATATAACAGGCCACAGCACGAGCGCAGACAACGGGCCAGAGATCTAGACATTAGAGAACAGTGTTGGCCGTCATTATGACGGACTATATTCTGTTCAATTCCATGGGTGAGATTGTCTGATCAGATATTGTACTCATGGAAAGACCCTTAGTTACTATCAGCTATTAATGTTAATTGTGTCCCGCCCTAATCCGGCATTGTTGAATCTAATCCATACACAGAGAGTAGCTACGGTGTAGAGTATGTATCTTCTAAAAGCCAGAGTAACAAAATTTGTCTGAACACATGCGAATGTATATGTGGGCATGATCATGTAATACTCAGTAACTTATGTAGTAATAGCTCTCTACTCAATGCACTCACTCATATTCACTCATCAGCCTCATGAGTCAGAACAAGAGAACGAAAGAAAAAAGTCTGAACGAAGACTAGATTACGTCACCCACTCCGCTGGGTACCCCGCCAACCGCCGCCCGAAAAGCCTGGCAGAAAAACTTGAAACACCCCTCCTCGCCCAAAAATGGAAGCCTCTTCTCCTTTCCACCAAAGTTCCATCAGTTCCGCCAAACGTCACCTGTCTATAGTATAAGGTAGTCTAGTACTAGGTAGTCTATACCGTGTTTGTTAAGGACCCTGTCAGGGCCACTAAGTAATGAAGTAGTAGCTTGTCGTAGCTTGTAGTTTAATCTAGCAGCAACGAGGATCATCCCATACATTCTTTCCCTTTGATTAGTCCTTTATCGAATGGCCCAGAACTGCAGGCGGTTTTCTCGAAGCTGGCGATGGAGCGGGTGGAAGACCATCGAACCCCATGGATACCCGTCGAACCGCCGCTTGCTAGAAACTTCGCTGGAGTTGCCATTTCACCGCCCGCCACTATATCAACGTTGCCAGTCGCACATTTTCTCTGCTCCATTCATCCATTTTCTAAACACGCAACTACTACTCTCTACTACTCCCATTTCCTCCTACCCTTTCTTCTTTACCACGCTCTAAGTCTCTTATACCCTTTCTCGAGGCTTTTTTTGTACATTACGATAATCTTGCTTAACGAATTCCCTCTACTACACACGTCACATCACACATCATGGCCCCCGCTGTCGGTATCGATTTGGGAACCACCTACTCCTGCGTGGGTGTCTTCCGTGATGACCGTATCGAAATCATTGCCAACGACCAGGGTAACCGCACCACCCCCTCTTTCGTGGCCTTCACCGACACCGAGCGTTTGATCGGTGATGCCGCCAAGAACCAGGTTGCCATGAACCCTCACAACACCGTCTTCGATGCTAAGCGTCTGATCGGTCGTCGTTTCGCCGATGCCGAGGTCCAGTCCGACATGAAGCACTGGCCCTTCAAGGTCGTTGACGACAAGGCTGGCAAGCCCATCGTCGAGGTTGAGTTCAAGGGCGAGACCAAGCAGTTCACCCCCGAGGAGATCTCTTCCATGATCCTCACCAAGATGCGTGAGACCGCTGAGTCTTACCTTGGTGGTACCGTCAACAACGCCGTCATCACTGTTCCCGCTTACTTCAACGACTCCCAGCGTCAGGCCACCAAGGATGCTGGTCTCATCGCCGGCTTGAACGTTCTCCGTATCATCAACGAGCCCACCGCTGCTGCCATTGCCTACGGTCTGGACAAGAAGACCGAGGGTGAGCGCAACGTCCTCATCTTCGACCTGGGTGGTGGTACCTTCGATGTCTCCCTCCTTACCATCGAGGAGGGTATCTTCGAGGTCAAGGCCACCGCTGGTGACACTCACTTGGGTGGTGAGGACTTCGATAACCGCCTTGTGAACCATTTCGTTACAGAATTCAAACGCAAGCATAAAAAGTTAGTCACGTGACTTTTCTTACTTCCTATTCATTTCTCCCTCAACTCTCTCATTTACCCCTCATTTCTCATTCATTCCCCCCTCATTTCCCCTTCAACTCTCATTTACCTCTCATTTCTCATTCATTTCCCCCTCAATTGCTGTGTGAGCGTTTGTGCTAATGTTTACCTAGGGACTTGACCACCAATGCTCGCGCTCTCCGCCGTCTCCGCACTGCTTGCGAGCGTGCCAAGCGTACTCTCTCTTCTGCTGCCCAGACCTCTATTGAGATCGACTCTCTCTTCGAGGGTATCGACTTCTACACCTCGATCACCCGTGCTCGTTTCGAGGAGCTTTGCCAGGACCTCTTCCGCTCCACCATGGAGCCCGTTGAGCGTGTCCTCCGCGACGCCAAGATCGACAAGGCCTCCGTCCACGAGATCGTCCTCGTCGGTGGTTCCACCCGTATCCCCAAGATCCAGCGCCTTGTCTCCGACTTCTTCAACAAGGAGGCTAACAAGTCCATCAACCCCGATGAGGCCGTTGCCTACGGTGCTGCTGTCCAGGCTGCTATCCTGTCTGGTGACACTTCCTCCAAGTCCACCAACGAGATCCTCCTGCTCGACGTTGCTCCTCTCTCCCTTGGTATCGAGACCGCTGGTGGTGTCATGACTGCTCTTATCAAGCGCAACACCACCATCCCCACCAAGAAGTCCGAGACCTTCTCCACCTACTCCGACAACCAGCCCGGTGTCTTGATCCAGGTCTACGAGGGTGAGCGTGCTCGCACCAAGGACAACAACCTCCTTGGCAAGTTCGAGCTTACCGGCATTCCTCCCGCCCCCCGTGGTGTTCCCCAGATTGAGGTCACCTTCGATCTCGATGCCAACGGTATCATGAACGTCTCTGCCATTGAGAAGGGTACCGGTAAGACCAACAAGATCACCATCACCAACGACAAGGGTCGTCTTTCCAAGGAGGAGATCGAGCGCATGCTTGCCGATGCCGAGAAGTTCAAGGCTGAGGATGAGGCCGAGGCTTCCCGTATCCAGGCTAAGAACGGTCTTGAGTCCTACGCCTACTCCCTCAAGAACACTCTCAGCGAGGGCAAGCTCACCATCAGCGATGCCGACAAGGAGAAGGTCACCGCCAAGATCGACGAGACCATCAGCTGGCTCGACTCCAACCAAACCGCCACCAAGGAGGAGTACGAGTCCCAGCAGAAGGAGCTTGAGGGTGTTGCCAACCCCATCATCTCCGCTGCCTACGGTGCCGCTGGTGGTGCCCCTGGCGGTGCCGCTCCCGGCGCCACCCGCACTGCTGACGACGTCGAGGAGGGCCCCGAGGAGCTTGACTAAATGTCTCAACTTTCAGTTTTGCTTCTAGTTCTTACTACCCATGGCTGTTCATTGGCTAAGTTTTTCTCTATTTGCATGTTCTAATCTTCATGTCTTTTGTTTTCTTTAACGAAATTATGGGATCCTTTTCTTGTGCATGATTGCATAGATTCGAGGTTTAGTCTTCACTGCATGATGATTTACTCTGCAGTAATCAGGAGGGAAAAGTTTCCTTTCGACGAATACAATAAATTTCTAATAACCTTGTCCTTCATCCTTTCGCTCTTAGTAGTAAAATCTGCTTTGGTAAGCTCTAGCCGTAACTAATAAGACTTGTGGATCTTGAGGGAGTCAGAACCAGGCGTAGGACTCGAGACTGTTTGTACTTTGTAGCCTAGATTCGGGAAGCCTCGGCCTCATCCTCGGCCTTGAACTTCTTGGCATCGGCAAGCATGCGCTCAATCTCCTCCTTGGAGAGACCACCCTTGTCGTTGGTGATGGTGAGATTTTCAAGAAGATTGTACAGTTATTAAGCATTATTTATGGTGCTCTTAGAGCGATAGTTCAACTCTTCTCTTAGGCGTTCAAGCATATTTACCCTAGCTTGATTATCCTAATAAAAGCTCCAGTCTAATGAATAATGCAACCATATCATCACTTGTGCTGATTTCTGCATGTTGACAATAGTCAAGATCCCTGTAATTATTTCAATGCGATTTCACGACATATGGATGTTATACTATACATTAATAGTCGGGGTATAGAGGCAGCCTATCGACCCTCTTTATTTCTTTAAGATTAAGCCAATCATGGGGTTGCTGTTGTTACCTAGCTGGAGGCGATCAGAAATGGTACAGTACTTGCCTGAGCAGCTTGGGTGCTCCATTCAATACTAATCCTCCACTACTGTTGAAGAGTCTATGAATTACACCTGCAAATTTCATGTATAAGTTACCCATATATAGTATAACCACCACAGCAATAGACAAAAAGCCCAGGATGTATAAATCAATCAATTCCCCTCAACGCCACACAATTCCACCAACACATACATTTACATACAAATCATCAACCAGAGGCAATAGTCTGACTGATGATGATAGAAGAGGAATGAATCACTTTCGAACCTCCTTCCTTCCCCCCAAACTCAGCCCGAATCCGATCAATCAGCGCTTGCTGCCTGCCCCCTCCCTCTCAACAGCCCCCCCCCAAGAACCATCAAGAAAACACCCATCTCCACGGCGAGGAAAGTCCTGGAGCCATGAATAGGCGGACAGGAAACCGTACAGCATGTCCCGAACAAGACAAGATCCCACGGGGATATGCCTGCGAGCCATCATAGCCCTGCGAAATCGCCCGCCCACCAGCGTTGTACCCGACTCGCCCCAAGCTGCACCACACTCCCGATCCCGATGTCCTTGGCTCGCTCGGGGAATTTCTCGCGCTGTTCGCGCTGGATGCGCAGGAGGGCGGCGGTGGTGCCTATCGCGAAGGCGAAGATAGGATCTGCGGCTCTATTTTTTGGGTACAAAGAACGAGGATATTGTTTTAGTTTGCGATCGGATCTTTCAGTCTCAAAGTGTCGTGGATCAAACTTGCGATTGGGTGTTGTGGGGTTGGGAGTTTGGGCTCGGAGCTGGAGAACGAGAAAGAGGGGATGATGGGGAGCGCGGATTGTGTTTAGGGTGCTGCTTCTTGGGTAGACATGAATCGGGGGTGTTGAGATGAGTAAAGAACTGGGACATACTTGGAGATTAGGTAGATAGGCATTGTAAAGGCTGCGTTGGTGTCGATGATGGTAGTGGTTTGGGTGGTCCACGTAGAGGTGGTGGAGTTAATACGGAAATTAGAAAGTTCCTTTGTCGCGTAACTGCGGAGCACCTCTTGCCTAGCATAGCATTCCACTTATTGCGGCGGTGAGGTGGAACTTCAAGGAGCTTGCCGAGGCCCAGGTTCTAGAGTACCATCCTCCCTCGATGTATCTGTTGCCTACCTCTGCCATGTAAACAGTTTCTATGATGCTGGATGATCTGTCTTTTATTTCCAATGTGTTAACTCTGTAGCGCAGAACCACTCGAGTCATCAACCGTCGATGTAGAACCACCCTCTCCTGTCTGTCTCACCCAAGGAGGGTGGACATCACAGCATATAGACTATCTCTGTGTGGCCATTCCTAGTAACTCTCATATCCTGTAAGATAATAGTAGGCATCCCACATAATGTAGAATTACTATTGCTGCAGAAATTTCGAAGAAGATGATTTTCCGGCTTAAGCCGAGCGAAGCATGTACAACGAGTTAACTAGTTGTTATTTGATCAATCATTGACCTACCAGCCAATTTAAGATATTGATCCAAAGAAGACTTATACATTGGCTCAGGCGTATGGTCTAAGTTTGCAGCTGGGGAGGCTTTGCATCGCCCCTTCCCTAGACTCCTCTCCGCCATCCATCTCAGCATAAGCCATAATACTACAACACTACAACTTTAAGGAGCCAATTGAGCCAGTTATTTAGACACGAAGCTTCAGTAAACTAGCGTTAATCATCTCTGCTCAGGCCCTCCTAGGGATGCGAATCTACTTACCACTTCAGAAATAAGTTATGCTCAGTACCATAGGCAGGCACGAATGATCGTGCGTGTCGGCGCCAACTAGATTAGGCCGCGAACCCTACAGAAACATGCCCAGAAACATGCCCAGACACATGCCCAGACACATGCCCAGGCTCTAGAATCCTGGGGTTAAGATACATGAAATTAGCACCGTACATCTATCATCAGTGCGTCTTGTCTGCCCTACTGCCCTGCTAAGCTGATAGACGGAGAGAACAACAACGATAAGCATATTTAAATCCCTCAGTGTACCTTGCCTCTGCGGACTGGGTAGCCACTCGCTGGGCAGGAAAGCATAGACGAAACAGTACTGCACATGCACTCAGCCCTACAGGTCTACCACGTATCCTCAATCTCTCTGTCGCCGCCCACTTGTCGAGTCTTATGGCCACTACCGTGTGTTCACTCTTGCAGGTTGCAGGAAAACCGGACTTTGTGAGACATTGCTGTAATCCCGCGAGGCCTAGCTCTTGAAACACGTATCATCCAACATGATGTATCTTCCAGAAACCTCCACATATCCATCATTCAAACCCCCCAAACTATCAAGCTCCCGTGTACCTCATCCTGTGACTACGCTGGCAAGGCTGGCCACGAGAAATGCGCCTGTCGGACCTATATTGCGGAGAGCCTAGGGAGAGCCACCAACTAAATCATGAGGAATGACGCCCTCCCCGTCGCCGATGGAGTTTTACAATCAAAGGCGAAGCCTAGAGGTTACTCCAAAAAGATCGAGAGGGCTGGAGACCATGCTCGTCTATAAGGGTAAAAGACCGTAGATAGGAAGTCATATTAAGGGGAGATGTGTTTCTTCAATTCCAATCGCCATGCCGCCATCAAACTCGTGAAAGCAAAAGAAAAAGGTCTTGTCTATCAAATGCGCAAGGCTCAACAGACTGCTCTATTTAGTACCAGAAAGCCCCGAAATCGAACCTGACAGAAAATCGCGTCCCAAAAAAGCAAAGCACCCGCTATTATAATCAACATATAATTACTTTTTTTTACACAACCTGGCCAAACGCAGGGATCAGCGTCTGAGCCAGCCAGAAGCTGAACACAAGCTTAGGTCCAGTCATCAACAGCTTGGGCGTCAGACCCTTAAAGAAACTGGTGAATCCCTCGTTCTTCATCATATTGGACACGATCCGGAAACCAGACTCCGGGTTTTCGAAGTTGCGGTTCTGAATACGGGTCTTGATGACGTCCAAAGGAGCAGACACAACCAGAGAAGCACTAGCACCGCAGATGGAAGCCACGAAGTTCTGACCCCAGGTGGCAGAGTTGTAGTCCTTCAGCTGGTAGATGTACTCCTTGGCAAAGGCGGAACCACCGAAAAGCTGTTCACACCCAGTCAGCATTTAAGAAACATTCAGAGAAATGGTCACATACAGCAAAAGATCCAGGGGCGTTGCGGGCTGCAGTCCAGCCAGCACCACGGTACAGTCCCATACCCTCATCCTGGATGATCTTGAAGAGGCCGCGGCCGCGGAAGGCCTCGGGGTTAGTTTGACGCTTGATCTTGAGAACGTCGAGGGGCAGAAGAACAATCTCCCCGATACCGATCAAACTGAATTATTGTTAGCGAAGGGGCTCAAGTCAAACAACATCGGACATGCGCACCTTCCAGCTGTCGCGTGCATGATAGCCTTGCCAGTTCCCTTTCCAAAAGCATTGTCGAAGTCGGAACCGTAGTGCTTGGCCAGATAGTCGCGAGCGAAGGGCTGGCCACCGTACTTATAGATACGCTGAAGAACCTTGTAACCGGCGGCGTAACCCAGACCGGGGAAAAGAGAGGTAAACTTGCGGCCAGCGGGGGCGTCGGCAAATTCCTTGAAAATAACCTTGTTCATTGCTTCAGAGGAGGCGATCTGTAGAAGACGATTGTCAGAGAAGTCTTGAGCCGGCCGAAATCAGTTGTAGAGTTGATGTCGTCTTACACGAGTCTGGTTGCTCATCAACCGCTTGGCAATGGTGTCGACCTTCCAGGCGAGTTAGCACAAGGTCTCAACAAGCGCGATATCGCTTTCATCACAACAAGTATGGGGGCATTCGTACAGGGTGGAAAACCATGAGCTCCGTAATACCAGCCGTTCCTAGCAACAACATCTGGTTAGCAACCGAGTACAAACACCAAACTATTCTCGGAGCTGTATATGAACACCTACCTGAACCCAGGAGACGGGCGGTCGCGGATTCTCTCTTGACATCCTTCGTGGCAGAGCCAGCACCAGCTTGAACGAGGGCGGGAGACATGTTGACTTGGTTGATAAAGATGGCGAAAATCTGAATTGAATTTTTTTCTTTTCCTGCTTGGGTGAGTACGAGTCTTATAAAATTGGAAATAAGGGAAAGAGAAGTATGGAACCAGGAGGGAAAACTCACCACCAGAGTCAGAGGGGCGAGACACGACTGGAGCCAGACAATGCGGCGATGAAGGGAAGGGAAAGGGAAAAAAAAAGGCAGACGCACACCAGCCAAGAGAGAAGGAGAAGGAAGAAGAACAGAGAGCAACTTTCCCGCAACTTTCTGCGCCGACTCGGAACCACTTCCAGCGGCCGCGGCGGACGGATGAACTCGACTAGACTACTTTAGGCCTGGCACCACCGGCCCTGAATCGGAGCCGCTCTCTTAGGACAATTGAGTCAGCACACGCGGCACCGTGACGGGATTCCGGGACGGACCCGGGCCTCAAATGGCGTTCCCCAGGTGCAGTGTAGTAGACTACTCCATATTCATTCCATTTTCATTTTTGGAAAACAAGTGATTGTGGCGGCCCAAGGGAGTTGGTCAGTGTAAACCACGCAAGTCACAGTAGCAATAGAAGTGAGGTGTTCCTGCAGCTTGAGATCCTCGGAACAATACAAGTCCGCTCCTTCCAAGCTTAGCGGCACAGTGCTTCAAGTCAAGGTACGATGATTACGAAAATCCCCCGGGTACTTGGCATCTCGGATCGCGCATGATTAATGTCTCCATTCATTCGATAACAGTTGATCTGGAAGTTTGATCCCATTTAGACGATTTCCACATGAAGAAGACAGCTCGAAGACAGCTCGCCAAGAAAAGAGTCAAAGGAAAGGAAGAACATAGATAGCCCCGTAAGAACGCCGACGGAACGATACATCAAAAGCACCAGTGACCAGCGCAGTCGAGCTTGCCCATCTTGCTACGGCCTACAACTGATAGATCCCACGCCATCCCACGCCCAAGGGATCTCTCAGAAGGCCCACGGCGAAGCGAATTAGCAGTGGCGCGACTTGATTACTTCAAGGTAAAGCAAGACAGAAACGGACAGGTCGACCAGCGCCTAGTAGTCACCGAATGTGTTCTCGCCGGAGTACCTAGCAGCGACAACTAAATCAGCCAAGGTAATTCATCAAGTATGGGCCTAGAGCTTACGTGATATACAGGAATCCATCCTCATCCTTGTGCTCTTCGTAGATGCTGCTCATGAGCGCTGCTGTTGGCGGAAGGACCTCATCAACGAAAATGAAGATGGCTTTCTCAGGAGACAGCTTAATACGCTTGCGAATCACGTAGACAAACTGTCCAACGGTGAGATCGGCCGGAACAAGGTACTTCTTCTTGTCGATGGTTGCAATATCCGACTTCTCGACCTTTTCGCAGATCACCTGTAGGGTAGAAAAGAGCGTGGTTAGTATCGCGAACAGGCGGTGAGCCGCGGACACACAATGAAACCCCAAAGACAATGATGTTGAGCATGGGCGGACATACCGGAATGCGATCGGCGTACTTCTGACGGATACGCTCGGCCTCAGCCTTACGCTTCTCGAAGGGATGCTCGTCCTTGAACTTGGAACGCATGTTGATAGCGGGTTCGGGGCGGTTAGTTGGGAGCGGGAGCGTTAGACCGATAGAGATCGAAGGGAACCGATAGTTGCTGCGATAAGATGATTTTAGGGTGAAACCGGAATCTGAACTATGATGAAAGCGATGGAAAGAAGCGAAACAGTTGACAGATGGGTGTAAGGATAGATGGATAGATGGATAAATGGATAGATGGAGAGATGGAGAGAGAGAGATAGATAGATAGACAGAGACGAGGGGGTGGTGGAAAGGAGGATGAACGGTGATGACAAAAGGTCAAGAGAAGGCGGACAGGCAGCCCCGCGTCATGGCAGAGAGCAGTAGGGGCTGCTGATAAGGCCGCCAGGCAAGCGCGGATCACGGGGGCGGAGGCGGTGAATCCGCGCCCCCACACGTCTGGATTGAGTCAAAGCAAGGTCAGGTGTTTTGTGGTTTTTATTATTGTCTCTTCACGTGGAAAGCAAAGGTTCGTCCAACTGACCCAAGTCGGATGATTGTATCGCTTGGCTGCCATCCTTGGTTCTCCAGCAAATGTGACTTTACCACCCGTACATACATTGACTGATCATAGATAGTCTACATGGCGGGTGCGTTGCCACCAGTGCCTCCACTTAGGTCAGTGTCTAGATCCCGAGTCCTTGGTCCCATTTCCGTCCGAGGAATTTTGTCTACTAGGCACAGCCCTGAGGGCCCCGAAGGTGGTTCCTGAGTCACAGCTCCTTCTATTGATTTTGCAGTTAATCCTATATGTTTGGCGATATGTAAAGATTTCATAAGACCAAAGATTGTGCCAATCCTTGCACAGTACAGTAATGCGATCGACAAAGAAGATACACACACTTTTGGAGGCATAGGAGTCGATCAACACGTGACCTTCACAGACCAAGCATACCGCACAAACAGCACAAACAGCACAAACAGCACAAACAGCACAAACCGCATGCTGCGGGTAACTACAGTACACTCACGACATGGCGGATTTATGCAAACCGGCCGCAGGACCTCGGAGGTGGTGGTCCCATACTCTTCCGGAACCTAGCTGAGCCATCGAACCAATTATTATCCCGTGAAAGTTCGCCGCACTTGGTACTTTCTGCTCCAAGCTACTAACTTGAACAATAGCGCGGAGTCTCGGAAGAAAGCAAGCACGAATCTGGCACCACCCGATCCTTAAGCAGATCAGCCAATTCTTCAATTGCCCCGTCCACAATGGCTATGGCTCGGCCATATATGCCTCTGCGGAGGTCCGTTTGTCAGGTCTTCCCTCGAGCCTCTTGCATTCCTCGCGGCGTCTCAGCGCAGTTTCGCAGGCACCTATCAGAGCAAAAGCCACGCGAATCCAAACCCTTTACTGTGTGGAGGCCATACCTACGACTAGCAATCGGTGTCCCGTTCATCGCGGCCCTCATATATTCCATGGTACCAACTGCAACTCTTCAGCCCCGCACCGCTGGCCCCAGTTCTGACCTTGCGATCTATATAGATGACAGGTGAAGTAACCGAACTCGACTCGCCGTCAATTGTGGAGCTCGATGAGGCATTGAAGAAACAAGCAACAATCAGCGAGACGTCACCTATGCGTCTGCGGATGGAGAAGTTGATCAAAGAACACCAGCAGAAGATCGTGGAAGAATTGAGCAGAATAGATGGAAAGCAATTCAAGAGCGACGAGTGGACGCGCCCCAATGGAGGCGGTGGCATATCCTGTGTTCTTCAGGATGGGCATGTCTTCGAGAAAGCTGGGGTCAACGTATCGATTGTATACGGGGAGTTACCTCGTCCCGCTATCGAGAAGATGCGAGCTGATCACAAGTCCTTTGTCGGGGCCGATGTGGACTCGCTGAGCTTCTTTGCAGCCGGTCTCTCCTTGGTCCTGCACCCACACAATCCTATGGCTCCGACAGTCCATCTGAACTACCGTTACTTCGAGACGACGGACCCCAAGGACCCAATTAACGGTGATAAGAACTGGTGGTTTGGTGGCGGTACTGATCTGACTCCCACCTACCTTTTCCCTGAGGATGCCAAACACTTCCATCAAACAATTAAGGACGCCTGTGATCGACACGACGCCACATATTACCCCAAGTTCAAAGCCTGGTGCGACAAGTACTTCTATATACCCCACCGCCGTGAGTGTAGAGGTGTTGGTGGTATCTTCTTTGATGACCTTGATGCCAGTTTCTTGGAGTCTTCGTCCACTTCGTCACAAAATCCGCAGGAGACTCTCTTTTCTTTCGTGTCGGATGGGCTTGCGTCTTTCCTCCCCTCCTATGTGCCCATCATTGAGCGCAGGAAGGATATGCCATTCACCCCAGAACAGAAAGAGTGGCAGCAGCTTCGTCGAGGTCGCTATGTTGAATTCAACCTGGTATACGACCGTGGTACCAGCTTTGGTCTTCGTACACCCAATGCCCGAGTTGAAAGTATCTTAATGAGTCTTCCTCGTACAGCAAGCTGGGCCTACATGGACCCAGTGTCCGGGACTCGCACCGAGGAGCCTGATTCGGAAGAAGCGCTGTTAACTAAAGGCAAGGAGCATGAGAAGGAGATCATGGATGTTCTAAGACATCCTAGACAATGGGTCTAGGAATAACCGGAGTTCTCCCATTTCTCTTTCCTGTACATCAGAGCTGGTCCACCCTTCCTTCTGAACGACAATTTAATTTATGTACGATATCGAGTAAAGTGAGCTCACACATGGTAGCACATAAAGCAATTCGGTAACCCCCTCGGTACCGCAGACGAGATCATGTTGAGCATACAATGTGGCCATGAGTGTCACGGATTGTCTGCAAAAATTGAGACTGACGATCAAATTTTATTCCCACACGAATGGAATCTATCCACAACGATGGTGTTATGCGGCGCACAATGGGGTAATTCAATGCAAAGGCATAACGGGTAACACGCCCCAAAGATATATAGACACATGGGACACACGGGACGAAACGTGGAGCAAGTTCAACCAAGAGATATGAAAAGGAAAGAGGCGTGGCCGAATATACATACAGAAAGCTCAGCTCTATCGACCAGCGACCACGCTTCTCTGTTTGGCCAGCCAACCCTTTTGTGCATCAGCCAGGGTTCCGTGGCGGTATCTAGACATTGTGATATTGTTGTTCTGCAGTCGACTCTGCAAATCATACCATGAGGAGCTCATAAGCTCAAGCTCCCGAGCTTGAGCCTCAATTGTCTTCTGAAGCTCAAACTGTGCAAATGAAAAGTCAGTGAAGTGACAAAGATGAACACAGAATGAGATCGCGAGTTCACTCTCGGCGCATAGACTCTCACTCACCTCACGCTCTTTGCTGATTCCAGTATCTGTATCATCCTCGAGCTGCCTTATGCGCTCCTGGAGGAACTTGATATGCTCGTTTTGTTGATGAATGTACTACAACGGTCCAGTTAGTCTCTGGAATGAGTAAAAAGAGTTCAGGGGTCAAGCGACTAAGTCGCAGCAGTCGAGAGTCAAGACTTGAACCTTGTGACGAGAAAGCGACTCATATGGTACAGACTTGCAGCCTTTCTAGCCGATAAGACAGGCATATTGCCAAATGGCCGGTCCGTATGGTGATTGAGTTGTTTTCTGCAGCCACTGGAAGGCCCAAAGGGGGCAAGCTTCACGCTGGTTCGTCTGACGCAAGCCGACAGCTGTGGAGAAAATGCATAACTGACCTCTGCGCGCTTGGCTAGTCTTTCCAGATTCTTCTCAATCTGTGCGGCAACTTGCCGCGTCAATTCCACGGCGGATTTCTGTGCAGTTTCGGAGTCATCGCCGTCCTCCTGTGCCAGTAGTTCAGCAAGCAACTTCTTCATCTCCTCTGCTGCTTCCTGATCCTCTGCGCGGAACTCCGCTTGCTTCTTCTCTAGAAGGCCTCGAAGGTCGTCGCGCTCAGCACAGGTTACCTGCACCAAGGTATGAGTCGAATCAAGCTCAGCTTGAAGATTGTTGAGTTTGCGCGTCACGTCATCCCATGCATCACGCATTTTGCTTAACTCTGTTGCATTGTGTGCTTTGACTTCCGCCATCAAATCAATTCTTTCGTCGCTGGCAAGTTCGACTACGCGACTATCAGTACGATCATCTGGGCTCACGAGGCTTCAGCAAATCGAACTCACGCTCTGCCATTGTATCACTCAACGACCGCTTAGTCACATCAAGAGAGTCCTGAGCTTCTGCCAGCCTCTTGAGTGTCGCTGTAAACTGATCGTACAGCTTCCAATACTCATCACTAGGGATCGACATTAGAAACGGAGCTGGCTAATCACAGGCAAACACACCTCTGCGTTGAGTTGGCGCGAGCCTGTTGTAAAGTCTCACTGAATGTTTCAGAGAAGCCTTCGAGTATCTATAAGTTGCCCGTCAATATCCTCGTGGGTAGATTATTAGCTGTGAAGCGACGTACAGATGCTGAAGGTCCCCTTAGTGATTCAACCTCCTTCTTGAGATCCTCGGTTTCAGGTTTACTGTTGACAGCCGTTAGCACATGCCTTGCCAGCAATAAGAGGAATGATTTCCATACAGTTGAGATTCTTTCACACCGATGGCCTCGAAGTCTTTCTGTAGGGTTCCCTCTAATTTCGGAGTCTCTGTCCCCGGCGTCAAGGATGGACTACCGGGAGACCCTTCCAACTCCCGGACTCGTTCTCTCAGCTCGCTGATCAAGGCGTCGTCGCGCTCGCGTTGTTCTTCGGCGTTGCTAAGACGCTCAGTAAGTGCATGATTGTTGAACTCCAATTGCTTTTTAAGATTCTGAATTTCACTACACTCCTGCTCTATGCGAGGCAGGACTCTCCTGTACTCCTCAAGCTCTACCTCGCGCTCAGAATTCCATTTTTGCTGTGAATCCGTCTCCTTTAGTTGCTGCTGGAGATCCTTTATTTGATTCCTGAGGGACTGATTCTCCTTCTCAAAGTCCTGACTTGCTTGCAACTTTTGGCGGTACTTCTCAGCTGCATTCGCTTTCCGGGCTAGCTGGTCTCGTTCGGTCTTCAGCTCATCATAGTCATCTTGCAATTTTTGGAAACGCTGATTCTTGACTCGTAGTGATTCGACGGTCATTCGTAGACTGTCAATTTCATCTTGTGCCGTGGCTAGCCTGGCTTCTTGGGTAGCAATTATATCTTCTTGTTGGCGTGACTTGGACTCGAGAGCCTTGGCATTGAGTCCAAGATCTCCTTTACCAGATCGCAAGTTGATAAGCCGATCCTCAGTGGATGCCAAGCGGCTCTGCAAGGTGTCGTTGTTCTCCTGGAGGCGTGCCAATCGGTCATGCATGTCGTCAATTTGCTTCTGCATATCCTTTTTCTCCCGAGCCATACGATTATTCTCCGCCAGTACCTTTCCGACACGCTCCTCGAACTGTAATTCTGGATCGACGGGTGGCTCCCGCTCCTCTTTGATGTCATCCTCGCCGTCAATGGCTTCGTGCTGGCCATTTTGTGCCTCTTCGAAGATGTTCTTAAGGGTCTCTTGCGTTGGGGTGCTTAGCGTCTGCAAGGTCTCGACATAGGTCGGCGCGTTGGGCGAACGAATGGCTCCAATCAATAGCAATTTGAGAAGCTTGTTGGCCTCTTTCTCGGAGTTCTTCTCGGCGACAAGTTCTAGGTTGGGGTTCGGATCTAGACCGGATGGCATGCCATCAGGCTGCTGGCGGATGTAGTTGACAAGCAGTTTGTGGATATGTTTCAAATTCTGCCATTTAGACAGCCAGTGGTCAGACGGGGTTCGTTGGGGGATCTCATCGAGGAAGTACTGCGGGTCGATATCTTGTAGAATCTCCCAGATGATGGTCCCATCGGAGAGCTCCTCTGTTGTGCGGATGGTTTTACCCAAAGCGAAGCTGTTTATCCACTCTAACAGAGCCTGCGTGATTGTATGCTCCGCGGTCATGGCTGCCTGTCAAGCGGATGAGTGGAGTTGTTCAGAGCGTAGAGGATGACACCGCGACCAAGTAGCTGCTGGGGGCGGAATAATTGAGATGGTTTGATATGTGTTCGTGGGGGTGCAGCCGGATGCGAAGAAGGAAGGAACAGGTTAAAGTGACCCCTCATCAACCTAAGAAAACACAAATCCGGACAACGAAGGATGGGACTGAGATCGTCGAGCGATCTTTTTTTCTGGTAGAAGGATGAACCCCGGGGTGTTAAGCCTAAAGGGTTGGAGGGTTGGGGGGTTGGAGGCGCGGGATCCACGCCACGCGCAGGGACAAGACTGAGCTACCATAATTAATTAATCCAGTCCCGCTCGGGGCCACCAAGAAAAGATCCGGTCGATATCAGTAGTTGTATGGAAGGTATATACACTTTATTACTATGGCGAGCCTCTACTGCGAGATTCCGAAGTGTCTATTTATGTCTCAAGCTCTCTGCGCGAATCACAATTCCATTGTACTGTACGTAATAACTATTCAGGGGGACTTAGCCGCACGCCGGCAAGACACAAGATCCCAAGATAACTACCTATCATATTCAACGCAAAGACCTGAAGACAGATTCGAATTAAATTCCGGCGCGCCCCCAAAATCCCTCATAGCCATCATTATCATAACATTGTTGTTTTCAGGAAGTAGCCCGCTAATTGCCAACATTGGACAACTCAAACTCCCGAGACCAGCAGGAGGTAAGCCAAGTGACGACGAGCAACCTCAGACCTCCTCCAACTTGAAACAGCACCGGTTCATTTCACTGGATCGAGACCATTTGATCTTGTTCGATTGTGGGTTTGTAAGCTGCGGACTGGGTTGATATCTGCTGGATAGCTTCTTCCGGACAGTCGGCCGAAAAGCCTCTGAAAGCGAAGGTCAGAACAAGCGACGAGGAATAGGTGCAATGAAATTACTTGATCAGAGCTACAAAGACAGAGTATGGTTAGTTCCAAGTCCAATACAAGTGGTAAGAGACAGGGGTGCAGAAGTTCTTACTAAACTCGTGTGTAATTTGGCCACCCTACGGGCATAAAACAATTAGCAAAGTCGCGCGACAGTGACTTATGACAGGTATTCAGCAGCATACAGCATCCAGAACGGAATCTTTGGCCTGCTGAAGCACCGAATCTGGAGTCCCTGCAGGGAAAGAGACCAGAACCGAATTAGCCAGAGTTAGCGGCACAAGACCGAAGATAGCCGCCGAGATTAGCTGCATTTTGAGACGAGATAATCGGACGGAATCACTGAATATACGACAAAGCAGCTTGAGTAAGTGTGGACTTGTCTTTCTAGTCTTGATGGAAAAAGGCTTGCTATGACTGAAGACTATGGACTGATAAGGTCGAAGCCGGACCGGAGACTGGAGTAGGATGAATTGTAATCTGCCCATTCATGCATGCGTCATTAATGCCGACTTGAACTAGTACCTTAGGGGGCTGTATTGTCCCGAAGAGGGTTAGGGTTGTATTTAGGATACATAGTATCAATACTGCAGCCTCACTGAGCTGGTATATGTGTTGTTATCATGGCGTAAGATACGAAGTTATTCAAGTCGAGTGGTTGCTGACTCAGCCTAAAGCCAGTCAGCCCTTTCCCGACCGTCGGTTCTGGTGAGTGCTCTCAGGTCAGCAGTTGCTTCTGCTTCTGCTTTCCATGCCTTGCCCTTTTCCCTCAGTTCCTTTCAAGCTCTTTCAACCCCCTTCCCCCTTGCCCTCCCCCCACCCATTCACCCATTCACCCATTCTTTCTCTTCTCGTTCACCTTGCTTGCTGCTCACTTTGCCTTATCCCTCCTACACTTCTCTTCCCCTCCCCTCCGCTCTCCTCCTCTTCCTTTACTCTCTCTGTCTTCTCTCCTCCCTTCTGTCGTCTTTCTTCACGTCTTCACGTCTCCAACAGATTCACCTTCTACTTGCCTATTTCGCTTTTGCTTACGGTTAACGCTCGCTTCGGACCTTCACCTCGTGCCCTTTCCATCAACTGTCCTCGTGGTTCAATTTATATCTCCCGAGGGCCTTCCTTCTTTCAGCCCCGAAGAAACTAAATCCTCGTCCATCATCTTAGTTTCGTTGGAGCTTCTTTGGCTAGGTATACTCTACAGGAAGTATTGATCGGCGCTGGATTGATCGCATGAGGTAGCTTGACATCGAGGACACGGGAGGATTGGTAGTGCGCAGGTGCTATTTCGGTGACTGCTGGTTCGGGTGGAGGAATTGCGCCTGCATCCGCGTGTTATTTTCTCCGAGTCTGACCCAGATAGCTAGCAAGCATTTGACAAGTTCCGCCGTCTCTTTCCATCTCTTGCTCTTCCAGGAGATCGTTGTTCTTGGAGAGAAACAAAGAAGGGGAAAATAGGAAGTTCTAATCTGGGTATTCACACAAGATTCGAAACAATCCACGAGAAAAAAAGACTCAACAAAGAAAAGAAGCCAAAATCCGGAATCCCATTTGAGAAAGGAAAACAGAAAGAAAGAAGAAAAATAGAGGGAATAAAAGGGGAAAAAACGAAGGAAAAAAAGAGGCAGATTATCAGCGCAAATAACATTTATACAAACACAAGGAAAGCTTCGAAAGTTGTCGAAGGAGAAAAAAAAGATAAGGAAGAAAAACCAGAGAAACTGACGATAATATCTCTCTGTGTCTTACGGCACTACCTACAACTTTTTAGTCCTTTCCCATTCCCCATTCTTCACTGCCCATCTCGGCTCCCCTTGTTACCGTGTATCATCCCCATCATGTCTTCTGGACTGGCCTCCGATGAGGTGGCCGAGGATTACAAGAACTCTTTGGAAGATCTAACCACAAACGATAGGTTCCAGATCAGCAATCTTACGGTTATTGCGAAAGAGAACACAGAACATGCAATGGCCATCTCTCGCGTGCTGGAGAATCACATTCGAACAGTAGGTGACATACTCTTGCCACTTTCACAACACCGAGTTGCTGCTGTTGGACCTGCCGAAGCGCAAGACCGTCTGTAGTTCCGGTTTCTGGATGGATGAGTTCTAATTTGCTCTGTAGACACCGCCGGCTCAAAAACTGCCTGCCTTGTATGTAGTCGACTCGATCGTCAAGAACGTAGGGACGCCCTACACCTTGTTTCTGGGTCGCAACATGTATCAGACATTCATGAATGCCTATACGTTGGTGGATTCGCAAACTCGCCGCAAGCTCGATGAGATGCTCAAAACATGGAAAGAGCCTGTGCCCGGTTCCTTAGACACCAGGCCCGTGTTCCCTCCAGAAATCACGCGCAGTATCGAAAGTGCCTTGATCAAGGCAAGGACTGCAGCCCTTCAGCAACAGCAAGCCCGAAGCCAGCAGGAATTCCTCACGCGTGGTCGAAATGGGACTCCCCCCGGCTGGTCCAGTACTCCAACACCACCACAGAATCTGGCCCGGTACCCGCCAGCCTCGAGTCAAACCGTGCCGGCTCCTTACCAGCGGAATGGCGCAGGTCATGCATATCCGCCCTCGGTGAGTTTTGTTGAGTGGAAAATCCAGCGAACTTGGTTAACTGAACTGATTCGTAGGGGGACACGCATGCTGCACGCGCCATGTCCACAGCGCAAATCCAGCAACGCTCGGAAATCGATCTATCCGCCTTGAACCGGGATATTGAATCCTTGATTGCCGCAGCCCGCGGTGATTTCGCCACCAACCCTCTCGATTCGGCCGTGCAGCAACGATTGAAAGCTCTCCTCGACCTGCAGGGCATCTTACAACGCCAAGAGCTCACCCAAGAGCAATTGAAATTGGTTCGTGATCAGGTGTCAGCCCTGGCACCAAAACCAGTCATCCCGGCACCTCAAGCCCCCCAAAATATCCCGCCTGTTTCGATACCTCCTGTAGCCGCTACCCCACCAGCCCAAACGCACTCGCAGCCTCTCCAGCAGTTGCTCAATCCGGGTATGCTCGCCGGGCTTATCAAGGCCACTGCTGCGCGTCAACAGCCCACCCCACCGCCTCAAATGACCGGGATTTTACCCCAGATACCGATTTTGAACAGCACGCCCCAGCCCGCTGTTTCCGCGACAAAGGAGAATCCTCTCATTGCGGCTTTGCGGGCGCAGGGGCTATTACCACCGGCATCGGCACCTCCAACTGCCTCTACCGTTCCTCCTCCTAATATTGCGTCTGCATTCCCACTCATTGTGCCTGGTCAGGTGCGATATACACCGCCTGTACCCACACCGCAGGCTCAAGGCAATGCCGAAGGGCAGATGGATGTGCAGATGAATACTATGTCCATGAAAATGTAAGCTGCGCGTGTGAGAAGACGTCCTTGAGACCTGCTGACTTGTGGTACCATAGCCCACGATATGCACTTATTAGCAGCCTCTATGAAATGCGCACCAATCGATGTGGGACGTGTGGCCGTAGATTTTTCGCGACCGAAGAAGGGAAGGAGAAGAAGGCGCGTCACCTGGATTGGCACTTCCGCACCAACCAACGCATGTCCGACGCTGCCAAGCGGGCCCAGAATCGAAGTTGGTACGTTGACGAACGGGTAAGTGATAAGCATTCTTCCGGTGGAGGCCATTCCGAGGTGGTTCCCAAGCTAAAAACAACGTTAGGATTGGATCAAATCCCGAGAAGCAGGAGACGACCAAAATCCTACAGACACGGAAGCCTCTGGCGACGCAGCTGATGGACATGATGGCAATGTAGCGAAAAAGGGACCGTCCAAGCCGTGGATCCGCGCGCCCAATGATGCGACTCTGCGGAATACTCCTTGTCCAATCTGTCAGGAGAAATTTGAATCCACCTGGTCCGAGGATGTACAAGATTGGATCTGGCAGGATGCAACCAATGTTGGGAGTCGTGTTTACCATGCTAGCTGCTATGCTGAAGTGACTAAGGAAGGCCCAACGCCAGCTAATCGGGGGGCGCCACTGGCACGCACCGGGACTCCAGACTCTGTGCTGGGTAAACGCAAGGCAGAGGTGAGTATACTTTTTTCTTTCTTGAAACAAAGCAGGCTGTCCATCTCTAACAATGTCAAGCAGGTGACCAACTCCCCAAGTTCGAATGGACGGATTAAGACAGAGCCTATCTGAATGGCGGTGTCCATGCCACATAGACTCCATTCCTCACACCCACTTCCTTTCATAACATTGCTTTGGAGCGAAGCTGCATCGACATTCATCGGCTGGTGGCTTTTGTTTTGCATCGGGACCGGAAGACAGGCATTTCCATGGGCGGCGTTGCTGTTTCTCTTTGCTGCTTTCCCCATCCAGGACTTCAAGACTCCAAGGGCACTGTCAATGTTGATGGGCCACAGGCCGCGCACATCCACAGATAAATGAATCTCTCTTGCGGATCTTGTATATAGATCACCATCATGATCTGAAGAAAAAAAGTAGAGATGAGTGCAGTCGGATCATATCTGATTTAATCTGGTTTGGTACATCTTATTTTAAATTTCTATGTCTCTTCTTCTCCCCCCCCCCCCCCCCTGCCCAGTGCCTGTAGGTGACGTACGTAGGCGGGGGTAGTTTGCCCCGCTCGGGGTTACTCCGCGTTGTCAAAAGATAAAAAATAAACACCTAAAATACTTAAAAGAAGGGTCCAGTCCACTCCTTCCCTTGTTCCCCTGTTCCCTCATTTCCTTATTGCCCTTTGTCACCGTCTCGCCTACCCCATTCCTCTTCAACTTAATCGTTTTGTTAGACCTTTCACCATGGCTCCTTACAATGTCCGATGGGGAATAATGGGTAAGAAACATTACAATTCCATGCGTTTCTCTCTCCACGCCCACCCCGCCCTGATTCGAGTCATCCTGCACAAACTCAATTGTAATGGTACCAGACTGACATGTGATAAAATTATTCGAAACTCCGCTTAGCCACCGGCTGGATTGCCGACGGTATGTTTCCCTCCATAGAATCCGACGTGTGTGAAGGATCTCGTACACGGGCCTCGTTAGTCTGACCAGCAAATAGTCTTCGTTCGAGATCTTCTCCGAGATCCTCTTGAGCGTGGCGCATCTGACGTCTCCCACAGCATTGTGGCAGTAGCATCATCATCATCGCAAGCTCGATCTGAGAAGTTCATCTCTGACACGGGCATCCCCGCCCCCTGTGCAGCCTACAGCTCCTATGAGCAGCTCGTGGCCGATGCCAACGTGGACGTAGTCTACGTCGCAACTCCCCACTCCCACCACTTCCAAAACGTCATGCTAGCCCTGGAGGCGGGGAAGAACGTTCTTTGCGAAAAGGCCTTCACGGTCAATGCGGCCCAGGCGAAGATCCTGTGTGAGACAGCCAGGAAGAAGAACCTGTTCCTTATGGAGGCCGTTTGGACGCGATACTTCCCGCTCAGCGTGCAGGTCCGAGACTTAATCAAGCAGGGGGCCATTGGCGAGGTCCTCCGTGTGACGGCTGACAATAGCTTCGGCGACCCTGTTGAAGAACGCTGGGGAACGGAACATCGAATGGTCAACAAGGATTTGGCCGGTGGATGTTTATTGGACTGTTAGACTCTCTTACCTACCTTCTTACCTGAGCCGTGCCCAGTGCTCCGAAAAGGCCAAAGCTGACCAAAAAAATGCTGCAGTGGGTATCTACTCCTTGACCTGGGTTTTCCAGACCCTGTATCACACCCTTCCCCGGGATCAGCGCAAACCACCTTCAGCCATCTCAGCTCACATGGCGCTCTACCACCTAACTGGAGCCGACGAAGCGACCACTATCCTCCTCAGCTTTCCCACCAGTACGCCGTCCAATCTGCCTCACCCAGGCCAATCCCACGCCGTGGCCATGACCAATCTACGTGTCGCTACCGACCCCGACGAGGCCAACACTGCCCGTCCAGCCATTCGCATTCAGGGCACCAAGGGTGAGATCCAGGTGGACGGACCAGCGTTCCGACCGGAGCGGTACCGCATCATTCCCAAGAAAGGGGAAGGTGAATTCAAGGAGGTCGAGTGCCCGTTTCCTGGCGACGGAAAGGGCATGTTCTGGGAAGCAGATGAGGTGGCGCGGTGCTTGCGGGATGGAAGCTTAGAAAGCGAAATCCTGCCATGGGAGGAGAGTATCGTCATCATGGAAGTGATGGATGAGGTTCGGCGTCAGGGCGGGCTGACTTATCCGGAGAAGATCGAGTCGACGGTTTACCCCACGCAACTGTAGTATTTACGCGGGACAGGTTTGGATGGACCGAGGCTTACAAATGCTAGGCCAAATGACAATTTCTAGTCCGAAGCACGCTGCCATTCAAAGAAGTAGTACTGTACATAGCAAATCCCTCCCGGAAGGTATTCATCTATATATGAAACCTAAGACACATTACATTTTTTCATGTCCATTACCTCATTCGATCGCCGCAGCCTTCTCTGCAGTGTTGATCCGTGACCGGCGGAAAAGACTTGGGATCAGATCTCGCCTGAACAATCGTTCCCTCGCCTTTCAATCCGTCCCGCGAGGGCAAGAAGGTATCAGGATTATAGGTAAGAGGAGACAATGACTCGGATCCCTCCTTGGTGGGAATTGCAGCAACTGCTTAGGGCTTCTGGAAAACCCCCAAGAGCGATTTCCACACCTGGCCAGGCTCTTGGCTGGCGTCGATACCACGCCAGATACCGGTCTTCTTGTAGTAATCAACCACGGGAGCCGTTTGGGCGTGGTAGGTGCCGAGACGCTTCTTGAGAGTGTCGGCGTTATCGTCGGAACGCTGGATCAAAGGCTCGCCGGTGATATCATCCTTCATCTCCTCCTTAGGAGGGTTGAAAATCTTGTGATAAGAGCGTCCGGAGGCCGGGTGGACCAGACGCCCGGTGATACGAGCAACCAGCAGAGCATCGTCAATCTGCAGCTCAACGGCATGCTGGAGCTTCTGCTGGCGCTCAGCCAACATGTCGTCCAGGCGCTCGGCCTGCGCAACAGTGCGCGGGAATCCATCGAGGATGAAACTAGAAACCGCACATTGTCAGCTCAAACTCTTGTGCATTGTGGCTCAAGGATATCAGGAACAGAGGTGGGTGGAGGGGGGACAGACCCGTTCTTGCACTCGGTGTTGTTCTCAAGCTCACTCTTGATCATGTTGACCATGATCTCGTCACTGACCAGACCTCCCTGGTCCATGATCTTCTTGGCCTCTCTTCCCAGATCAGTCTTCTTGGCAACCTGAGACCGCAGCATATCACCGGTAGCCTAATCGCACACGCACAGTCAGAACAAGTATCAGTGAATCCAGACTCTATCCACCAGAGCATAAACTCACCAAGTGGCAGACGCAGTACTTCTCCTTGAGCCGGGGGGCCTGAGTACCCTTGCCTGAACACAGCGATCGGTCAGAATTCCGCACCAAGAACAAGGGGAGGGACAGGAATGGCAAGATAATAGGCATTATCCAAGCGTACCAGCACCGGGAGGTCCCATTAAGATGATGCGCATATGCTCGGTAACAGACTTGGGCTTGACTTCACTGGTAAGGCGACCCTCCAGGTCCTCAATACGAGCCTCAAGCTTTCCGATGGTGTCCTTGAGACCATGGATGATCTCTTCCGTGATGGGAGCCATTGCGATAAACAAATATGGTGAAGAAGTGTTGTGGAATTGACACTACCAAAGGTAGCCGGGAAAAGAGACAAGCGGAGTGAACAAAGGGGGGCAAGGGAAGAGAAGGAGGATGAGGGCGCGCAAAAGCAACGGGGAAAGGGAAGCGGATAGAAAGTTGACTTCGTTTTGGGGGGGGTCAAGTGGTTGAAAAGAGGCCGCCGACCGGAGTGCCGGGGTGGAGTCGCGGCGCGCCCACCCGAGGCTGCGGCGCCGCGCGGAGCAATAATCACTTATTTGTAGAGAAGTTCAGTAATGCAGTATGCAATTGCGATTGCCGTGACCATGGCGAAGCAAGGGACCTATATTCTAGGCGAAATTTGCTCACCTAAACTATTTATCTAACATGTGCGACAATTGCTAGTAGTTGCAGAGTGCAGACAGACGCATTTCGGACGGATGGACAGCGAGACCGCCCGTAGTGCCTTGGGGCCTGAGGCATGAAATGCAATGTGGCTGATGCATCAACCAACTATTCAGCCACACAACACCCGGAAGCTCCCCCGAACTGCCACAGCTATTCCATCGTCATCTCTCCCTCTCTCTCTCTCTCTCTCCCTCTCCCTCTCTTCGGACTTCCTGTCACTTACTTTCCATTCTCATCTCATCTGTGCTAAGGCTCTCTCTCCATCCTTTGACAAGCCTAGTCGTCGCTATACTTGTTACTTCTCACTTAGCTCAGTGATACCGCTCTGCGTCCTTGTTTCCCGCCATGCCTGCCACCACGGCGGACACACTTTCCCTTGTCCAGCGAACTGTCACCGTTGCCCCATTAGTCCTTCTTTCCGTCGCAGATCACTATGGTCGCTCAGCTAAAGGCACTCGGAAACGAGTGGTGGGTGTGCTGCTAGGAGAGAACTCGGGCCAGACTGTCCGCGTATCAAACAGTTTTGCCGGTAAGCTCATCTGCTGGTAGAGCGTCTCACACTTCCACCGGAATGAACTGACCGTTCTTGGTGACTAGTCCCCTTCGAGGAGGATGAGAAGGATCCATCTGTGTGGTTTCTCGACCACAACTTTGTCGAGTCGATGAGGGACATGTTCAAGAAGATCAACGCGCGGGAGAAGCTGGTCGGCTGGTATCACTCAGGCCCGAAGCTGCGCGCCTCAGATCTGGAGATCAACGAGCTCTTCAAACGATACACACCCAACCCCTTGCTAGTAATTGTGGACGTTCAGCCGAAAGAAGTAGGCGTTCCGACCGACGCTTACTTTGCCGTTGACGAAATCAAAGACGTAGGTTTCTAAGCGATTCAGTTCTCGGACCCTATATCCGCCTTGGTCTCACTAACTAATTCGGGGTGATCCACTACAGGATGGCACCACGACGTCCAGAACCTTTGTCCACACACCGTCTATAATTGAAGCCGAGGAGGCCGAGGAGATTGGAGTGGAGCACCTACTCCGTGACATCAGGGATGTCGCTGTGGGAACACTTTCTACCCGGATAACATCCCAGCTGCAATCGCTGCAGGGCCTGCATCTGCGTCTGCGTGACATCGGCCAATATCTGCAGAAAGTTCTCGACCAAGAATTGCCCGTCAATCATGCCATCTTGGGCAACCTCCAAGATGTGTTCAACCTTCTTCCTAATTTATCCACCCCTGCTGCAACGCCTCGCATCAGCGGTGGTGCCCCGGAGCAGCAGACGGATGATAGCGAATTGGCACGTGCCATGAGCATCAAGACGAACGATCAATTGATGGCGATCTACTTGAGTAGCTTGATTCGCGCCATCACTGCCTTCCACGACCTGATTGAGAACAAGATTCAGAATCGGCAGCAGCAAGAAGAGAACGAGCTGAAGAGGGAGCAGGACGCCAATGCGGCCAAGGACGACAAGGACACGACTAAGAAGACCAATGGCGTCGTCAATGGAGAGCAGAAGGAGGATCAAGAAGTAGTGAAGGATAAGTCCAAGAAAAAGAGTTCAAGAGGGGAATAGAGGGGCCTGGAGTCAACGCGATACGATCAATTTTCAAGGACCAATTCATTTATTACACGAGATTGTACATTAGGGTAACCTCGGACACGGCTGATCATGACCATACGGGGTTGTCTTCGGAGACATCGATCGTGCTGAGTATTCAGTTGTACCGTAGGCTGTTAACACCGCACCCTGATCTTGTAGTGAGGCAATCAACTCCTTGGAGGTGACCACGCTGGAGCCCCCTCTGACTCGTGGCATAAATACGACACGGGCTTCAGCCGCCCCAGCCGGCACACCAGCCCGCCAACTCCTCCGCGCTGACACAGACGAAGCCGTCATTCCCCTTACCCAACAGACTGGGACAGCGAACAGCCAGCCAACTCGCAAGGAGGTGCTTGCAAACGGGGGGTGAAGACCGGACCGATCCGCGTGCCAACATACCCCCGAATGGGTAAGAACCATGGGAGATTGCATAATCCCGGCGTGGCGATAACTCGATAGCAGAAGCAGTAGCAACAGTGGATAAGGAGGTCATCTCAGGTGCGGGTGACAATGGCCCACGAAATGAAGCCAATGTGAAGGTAGGGCATGTGCAGCTCCAGGCTTGCAGGCGGACTTCGTACGCTTTTGTCTCGCTATCTGTCTTATAGGGGTGATATCGCGAAGACGGTTGCGTCGTGAGAACCCCGGAGGTTGAATTCACCAGGAATACATCCTCCGTCGATCTTACCGACGAGGCCTGGGTCGTGGGGCGATTCGTCGCGTCGTGAGTCGATACTAAACGTCTTACCAACCCTCGATCAAGGATATCCAAAGCGAGCAGGAGTTCATTAGGGAAAAGACAATGGAGAGCTAGCATCAGAGACTTTACACCGGCGATCTGGGTCGCATGCAGCGCAGAGAAACCACGGGACGGGCTTTCTCCGCAGGCTGGATATTGTTCTTGTTGTTGTTGTTCGTGTTGCTGGCCATCGCTCGAAGTATTGACCTTGAAGACTGAAATGCCAGAAGCCACCTGGTCCACAAAGTCAGCAGGAGTGAAGAAATTGCTTTGGTGTTTGTCTTCGTGAATATCCATTGGGTTGGCGGACCAAAAAAAAAATTCGAAGTTGTTGCAACGGACAGGATATGTATTCGGATTAACCGGTAAGTATTAACCCCTGGGCAAAGCTTCCCGATTTCTCCTTCCTGCCCGTCTACAACCGATGCACACCCCAATAGACAATTATATACATGGCTATAGACTTTATATGGACATGAGCGCTCTATCAATCTTGGACTCGACGGAGACAATAAAGCCAGAATAATCCCACCATGGAGCACAAACAACATATCGGTCGTATACTATATGGCAGCAGATTACCACAATCTAAATACAACCCAAGCAATAGGCATAAGGTGTCAACCAGCCACTCCGCGGCTTTGCTGCAGACGCTTTGCGGCGGATCGTGTGAAGGGTGGAGGACCTGGGGGAATCTTGGGCTTAGGCAACTTTCTCTTGAGGACACCCCGAGGTCTGGCTGTCTTACTTACCGGTTGCGCGGGAATGATATTCGGCTGGAGGGGAATGATCCCTTGGCCTTCAAGGACTTCGCCTGTTGTGGACGTGAGCCTAATTCGTACCTGTGCCCGCTGCACTCTGGCTCTGGCTGACTTCAACTTGATCAAAGCTCCATTATCACCAGGAGGTGCCAGCTGTTGCTTGAAAGTCCATCGAACGGCTCTTCCCTCGAACTTGATCATCTCGTCCAATGTGACCTCACTGGGAGATTGTTCAATGAACTGGCCCTCCTCTTCAAAATCTGGTATAAGTGGCGGTACTGATCGCACTGGCAAAGGTTGTGTCCGGCGATAAGCTAGCGCGTATACATCCTTGCGGTTCTTCTCGTGAGACCTGAGTGCTGCAAGTGTTTTGGCGGATACTATGCCGTCGCTGAAACAAGCCCAGTCACCATACGGGCCCTGTGCGAAGCAACTATAATGGCCGTGGTCGATGTTTCTACTCAGATGATTGACAAACGCAAAAAGCTGATATTGTATCATCTCAGGTGGAAAGGTCAAGGTCTCTTCGATGCAGACATAGTCTTGATTCTTCTGTTTATCATGCTGGAATCGGTTGATTTGAACAAAGATAACTTCCGGGTAAAGAACAATATCTTGACTGATTTCGTGCTTAGTTCTAGAACCACCACAGCCGCGACAAGCCACTTGCAGAGATGTCGGACGCAGGTTGTTCTCTATTGTCTTGAGTAGCCCATGAGAGCCCGGGCAAAGGTCTTCTGGAAAACTCGCAATAAGCCACCAGTTCATACTCGCTGGTAGAGTCTTCCGCTGCCCGCACTGGGAACATTGACCTTCTCGGGCGACAATGCTTTGGAACATGCTCTCAAGATCGCTTCAACGAAGTCAGCTTCTGGCATGTCTGGGGGTCAATGAGAACATACGCTCTTGATTTCTCCGTACTATCGGCGTACAGCCGCGCAATTAAGGCGTCTAGAAACTCACATATATCATGCTGTTCTCGAATATCCCGCCCTTTCCAAGCAGCTTTTTGGATATGCAGCCAGAGAACCCCAAGACATGATTCAAGATCGCGTGGAGATTCGAGCCAATAGACTTCATATAGACGGCACAATTGACACCCTAAACAACCGTTCGAAAAGCCGCAATTCTCGAGGTCGTGACTTGGTTGATAGGAACACCTGAGCCAATTCCATAAATCGGGCATATGCAACAGAAATATGAGTGCCGCATTCCAGTAGCATAGATTTCCTGGGTTTTCAAAGCCTCTGGGACTTCTATAAGTCTCGCTGGGCCACGCTGATCTGAGTTGGCTTCCCTAAACGCAGAGTGAGCCCACTTTGAACGGTCAAAGCATTTATTTCACCAACGACGCACCATGTTGTTGTATATATCAGCTGAATCACTCATCTCCAGTGCACCTCCTGTCGGGGCTTACTGTGACACCTACTACAGTAGGCCTAAGTACGATCAGATTCTGAGTAATAAGTGCTTGAGTGTGTATAAGTTGGGTCCAGGTGATAGTATATTATCTTAGTCGCCATGCAGATACCGTGCCAGTCCTTGTATATATTATTGAATTTATCGCTAAAGTAGTCCTATAAGAGAACAACAGATAGTACATACCTCCCTTACAACTCAGGGTGATCCTTCTTTTGTTTATAGAAGACCTTTGTATATAGACATATGTCATGTTGTTTGGTACATGAATGATAAAGAGGTTACTGGAGGGTGAATAATGGTTGTTAGATATCTTGCTCTTTATTAGCATTGCTGTCAAATGTTATGTGGTATTAGCAAGATCCATTGGTAGAAGATGTTTGTATTTATTCCTCTAACATTGATCTCTTTATGTAGATTTCTTTCACACATAGCTCGGTAGAATATAGCACTTCAAACGCTTCTATGTCAATCATGATTTTTTACGGTTTGTCCTTGGGATTAGAAGAAGTAATGAATCGTTCTATGCCAATTATGTTGGAAATATTCTAGGATTGATTTGATTATATGAAGAGATACTGTATGAGACCTCTACATCAAGTTATCGGGAAAACATGTAGCTGGTCATGACTAGTTCTCGATGCATACCGTGTTCATTCCACAGACCGTCTTAATCAGGATGGAAACATGTTTGATGTTTTGTAACCACCCACCTATAGGTGGTATGTATGTCAGTCGGGCTATCCCTAGACCATTCAAGTAAGCCTCGCATGACAACACCTCCCTATACGTTGTCTTACCAGTCAAACCTTCAGACACTGAAACCACACTCTCCATCTGATAAATGCCAGTTTAGGAGGCGATATCGCTAGTACTGATATATATTGTCTCGTTGTACGTAGCATGGAGGTGCTTTATTCCTTTTGCTCATCACTCTTTGTTGACTTTTAAAACCCTCATACTTGGAACAGCTGAAAGGTCTGGCTGATTTGCAGGACAACAAGGCACCTACTTACCCTTCTTTGTTTTCCACATAAGGAGTTTGCCCTCATAGCGTATCCAGTGTGAAAGAGGCATATCTTCACTTTTACAAAGTAAGTTGTTGACTTTTCAAGATCCATCGGGGTTAATAGCCTCCACATAGTAGGTAGGTAAGGCAGCCGCTGCACGATGGAGGGGAAGTCAGACTCGACCAAGATTACCAAAGGGTCCCCCCGGTGATGGGGCTCTGTGCCAGTGTGTCTTATCTCTTACACAATACCTGAATCTGTCTAAGGTTGAATCAGACATCAGCAGGTTGAATACCCTGATACTGTACACGGGTTGTTTCAAGAAGGGTTACTGTACAGCAGTGACTCTATAGCTAAAGGTGTAGTTAGTCAAGTTACAGTATACGGAGTGAGTGGATCAAGAAATATACTCAGGATAGAAACATGAGCTGCCAGGGTGCGGTTAATGTTCCCCCCGCAAGTCATTCAAAGTCACAAACTGTCCACAAATTTATTCCACACACATTTATGTGCTAAGGTGAGTGAGAATGCCCTCATTTCGAAACTCTTAACAATCACTCACCAGGATGTCGGACGCTGACAGTAAAGGCAGCGGACAGGGTTTAGGAACATCTGAAACAATGATACTAACAGCATCCATGTATTGTGGAATCGATCCAGCTGTTGTTTATAGGCTCTGGCCTCATTTATCATAAACAACACAAGGGGCGCGAACAGGCGATAGACAGTCGGACACATCCGCGATTGTCAAGTCTAGGCCACCACCGCCTCGGGGCCATGACTCGCTGGTTCACGAACTGTTGAACAAGTTGACATTTTTTTTCCCACTTCATTTACGGTGGTTCCGCTGCTTGGACGCGGGAATGACCGTGTTGCAAGTGTGATCATAATTTCCCTGCCCTTTACCCCACTCCACACAGCCCAGGTTCTTGTTTCATCTTGTCCGATGTGGAGCGGAATTAATTACCACCTGCAAGCCTCTACGCAGCCCGCGCGCATTACCCTCAGATTCCGCCCGCCGCAACTCACTTGTACGACATGATCGCTTCTTCTTCTCGCAATGGAAGAGGACTCGGAGAAGGCTTCAATGGAGGAAAGAGATCATTTCCGCTCGCTTCCCCTTCTCGTCTTTGGGGAGAATGCAATGGAGGAGAGAAAGAAAGAAAGAAAGAAAGAAAGAAAGAAAGATGTGGTTCACAAGGCTGGAGAGACCAGGCGAAACGCGCTTCAATCCAACATAGACACAAAGCACTTAAAAGTCAGTTTATTGACTCCAATCTTACTGGGAAGTCAGTCCATTCGTACTACTCAGTCGAGTACTCCGTACTCATACATTAATGCTGTTCCTTCCTTATCTGGGTGCGTAGGCTGTTACTGATCCAGCGAGGGTCTCGAACAACGACCCTGGCTGGGTCCAAACAGTCATGGTGATACTTTCCTAACTTCAAGGTTCCTATAGAGAGAGCCAGGTAGAGAGACGATTGGTGAGTGGCGATGTACTTATGTACTGTAATATACTTCATATATACAGTACTGTAACTTACATGTGTAGGTATACCGTAGAAGGTGGCAAAGGACAACCGACGTTCACAAATTCCCAGACTTGCACAAGCAGATCCCTTCTGGATATGCTCCATGTGGATTATGTCGATGACGTTGCAACGATTTCATCGGGGCCCAATTGACAGTCATGCCATTTGAGGAAAAGCAGAGAATTGTTGAGCCCGTATTCATTACTGACAGCCAGCCCCTCCACCCGGAAACGCGCGATGAACCACAGTTTGCTGCAGGTTCAAGAACCGGAGGAGTAACTATAGATTTCTCCCCAAGTCCTCTCAAACTTGAAATGACTTTGACTTCCCTGGAGGGTTCGAGCCAATACGAGGCATTTTCGGTGGGTTCGACCCATCTGCACAAAGCCAGATCGAGTGTGTACATACTCGTAGTAGCAGAGAATGTTGACGCACACTTGACAGCTTGATCATTGGGTCGAGGAAGAGATTTGAAAGACTTGCGGAGAAAAGAGACTACCGTCAAAGGAAGATTGAGGGGACAAGGTCGTAGATGTCATGGATTGAACTCAAATCACTCAAGCCAGTATTCACAGGAGTCAAAAGACAAGCTACTGAGTACAGTACTATGTACATACATGAAAGAGTATATGGGCTCGCTAATCGGCTTCAGATCTGTAGTGCGCGCGTTTTTCCGGATCACGAAGATCATTAGGCAGTACAGTGGCGCAAACCCAGGGCCATTGGATATCCCAACCCAGGGCATAGCACAACCGCCACTTAGGAAATGTACTCAGTAGCTGCCAGAGATCTTCTATCTCGCCGACTGTTTCAACTAGCGATTGAACACCGTCGAACGCCCCATGCAAACTCGTACCATCGCCGACAGTCACAGCCACCAACCACCTTTCCGCTTCGATACAGGAAGGATAAATCTGACCTGCATGACTTGCTTAATATTTCACAACAAACGTTCAGAAATACTTCAAAGTCTCAAGCTTAGTAGTGTCCGTGGTTTTCGCCCTTTCTATGTTAGATATCCTAAGAGGTTCAAGCACGTATTTATAGGGCTGACCCAGCCGATCGAGTGCTACATATAGAGGATGACCTCCTACATATATGTCTACTGTACCTACTTGCCCTACCTAGCCGAGCAGGTCGTAGATCGGATGGGGGGAAATACAAACAGTAAGCACCGTAAGAAGCTCAGGAAATACATAGGCCGTCGTAGTCTGAAGGTGGGTTCCAACTTCAAACCAAAAGCATCCCAATCACAGTACTTAAGAGTAATCGATTAGTACTTAGCTTATCATTGAATTCTCCGCTCCCTGCCAGGCTCCACCACAGGACTCAACCCAATGGCATGAAATGACCACTGTAGAGAACCGTTTGAGGTTCCCGGATATCGGCGACCCGGATAACGGCGATGGCGCTCAACGCTCGTGATACGTCCTGTATAGGTGCAAAGATAGAAGGTGTGAATGTAAACCTGCAATACCCACAAATAGCTTGAGAGTGAATCGGTGATGCTTATTGGCATGGCCCAGTATTCCTCTCCCACTTTGGACATGAGCCTGTCCTAATCAAATCCGAAAATCACACTTCATACATCTTGCTTTCGAGTATATGTGATAGCTGACTGTATCAATCCGTGATTGGGCACCTCGGCGTCTAGCTCTATAGGCCTACTGCATGCTCTGGTCGCCGAACCCTACCTACGTATATAGGACCTCCAAGCAGTAGTACAGCACCTTGCTGAGACTTCCTCAGCGTCGATGCAAAGTCATTGCACTTATTCAGCCTAGCTTGGAAGCGTGTCGCTGCGTTTGCTTCCTTGGTCCCCAACAACAGGAGAGTTTTCAATTTGTAAGTTAGACCGCGAGAGGATACCCTTGAATTTTTTTTTCTCGTTTTTGGAGAAGAATAGATGGGTTTTCTGTTGGCAATAAGATCGAACAAAGAGCAACTTACGGGAGGCGTCGTTCACGGTGGGGTTCTAGACCTAACTCAGGGATGCAACCCACCGCCATTTCCCCAGTCAGGCATAGTAGGCAGTGTCTGGCTGCTACAAGCCGTAGCATATGCACAAGGCCCGGGAATCAGACAGCAGGTAGGGGATTGAGTCTTGCATCGTGTCAGGCTCAGCCTCGACCTCACAAAGGGTGTCTCCAGAGGGATGGCTGATCCAGTAATGGCCTGTGGCCACGCATTAAATGTGCTATACGTACCCAATCGATTCTCCGTGATCAACAACTGAGCGGTGACTCGCTGCCTCTTCATTCACAGCAGCTTGCCTGCAACATCTGTGTCACGCTAAATGAGAGTATACTCGTGGTTTCCAACGCTCCAACTTATAGTTAGTTGTTGCTTCGCAGACATCTTTTCAATATTGCCGGGAGAATGTTAACCCAACTGTAGGAGGAGCAGGATATGGAGGATTGCGTTCAAGCGGGAAGGAGAACTCGAATGACCACAATGGTAGCTCAAGAGCTGTCTAGCTGCATCACCGGTGGTCTCAATCAACAAAAAGTATCTTCATAAGGTTGGTGTACTCGACCAGTGTTATGGTGCACACAGGCGGCATCAATGGAGATATCCAGGTGGCAGTATAAATGTGCTAGGGAAAGAACACTACCATAATGGCCTGAGTACATCTTAGATCTCCTGGGGATCTATGCAACAACTATACTATGTAGGGTGAATTTCTGTTTAGTAGTGTGCCATGCCTGGTC